GAGCAAGCTGGCCAACACACCAGTAACTATGGACATATGGATCACTGGCATTGACTACGCAGTTGCCGCGATTCAGCCGTTCATTCTTTGTGGCTGGGTCAACCTCTTTTCTGACAACCTCAGGGGCTAAACAACGGCAATGCCTCGTCCCTCGCTTTACAGTTTGCGGAGCGCTTGGCCTAGCTATTTCCAAATAAAGCCTCATACTCGAAAATTGTCGGTCCACCGATTTTCTGCAGCAAAATCCTCATAGAAATCGATGGGGTTCGGGTGCCGAACAACGCCGAATTTGCTTTAGCCAACCCCCCTACAGCGATTTTGAACTTTTGGCCGTGTAATCTTTTTAGTGTAGGCGAATAAACCTAAATAAAATTAGTCGGGTTTAGCACCCGAACAACGCCGATTTCTGATATCATGTTATTGAAAAAAAAAAAATCACTAGACTAATATCTACAATCTTTCCAAAATCAGTATGGGTCAGTGCCCGAAACACGACGATTTAGTCGTTGTTTATCCATCACCTACGCAATGTTAATGGCATTTGACCGCCACCTATGCTAATTTGGTTTAGCCCCAACCTAACCCACGCCAATTTTCTTTAAGTACTACTTTGACCCACGCCGATTTTCCACGCCCCGCCCCAGGCGTGCGGCCCAAGCCTGCGTCGCATGGTCTCCCATGCTTCGAGCCTGTGTGGCCAGCGTGAAGAAGGCTCTTAAACCCAAGGTGAAGCACGATCCCGGCGAAGAGGGGGTAAAGTTAGAGAAGGAGGAAAAGGTAGACATGAAAGTGCGCAATCCCATTCTCTTGCAAGCAGACCCCCTATAAACATGACTGTCCAGCCCCTGAGGTTATCAGAAAAGAGGTTGACCCAGTCGTAAAGAATGAGCGGCTGAATCGCGCAGATGCTCCTAATATTGACCTAGCGAGCAAGGTTTTGATTCGCACAGAAGCTACGCAACTCTAAAGTTAGCCAAGACTCTTAAACTATTTGAGCATCACATTTGGCCAGTCAAATAGCTTATAGAAAGATAGAAAGTGTCCGGGAAGTCGTGCCTTGGCGTCGAAGCGAAGGCGCGGTGTTGCCCGGGGATATGGTGCAAAATCAGAATTATCATCAGTTGTCCGTCGCTTTAACTTCTTAGGGCCTGGGCAGGCTCACACATCAAACGTAAACTGCCAGCCAAATTAAGGGAATCAAACTAATCATGTTTAAGCGTAGTCGAGGGCTACTTGGAGGATTTCCAGCTTCACTTTCTTCATCTTGGAATAACGCCACCTTAATTTTAGAAGAGGAGGAATGTTGAAAGGTAATTGAGGGGTCTGGCCTAGTTGCTTGAAGCTGGCCGCTTTTTGATGAGCGGCATGCCGCGCTACCCCATCAGAGAACGTGCCCTTTTTGGGACTGTTGCCGTAAATGGCAGTGAATTGAGCTCAAAAATCAGTGTCTAGCAATAATGGTTGAATGTAGACGCCCACATTTGAATTCTTTGGCCTTCTTTGATAGTAGTCCCGGAAAAAAAAATCAAGTGGGTAACGAAGGGTGCCCGCTAGCGGTTTCAAATGGAGGCTTACGCTTGAGAGCCCACCAACTGCTAGCGGCAGGCAGCAAAGCAGCCGGGAGCACCTTGCAGCCTGCCGCTGCCGCCTGTACCTTTTTCACCTTTCAACTAACCGCTACAACATGAAAACCCTGACAGCTCAACAGAACGAATAGGTAGCCAAGTGCCATGAATTTAACTTAGTCCTGGAGTGTTTTATTAATATTTATTATTTAAATTCTAATAATATTTCGTTAAAATAGCTCGACAATTTGGTTTTGTTTAATGTCTCGCCCGGTGTATAGTTTGGTTTACATTTCAGTGTGGATTGAATACCCCCATTTCGTTTACTCTCGTCGGGTTTTTTCTTAGAAGGGCCTGGCTTTTGTTAACGAAATTGATATTTGAGTTTACGAAATTAGCTCGTAGATAAATGGATTTTGATATAAGCCTATTAATGCAAAATTTGCTGAGCAAAAATAGGCCCCAAGGTACTCGACAACCATGCTTAATTTCATATAACTGTGTTTATGATCGTAAGCTCGTGAGGAGGATGGAGATTGCTTGAAACGAATTAATTTATTTATAACATAATTTAATTATATATACATATTTGGAATTATATTTTTGGGTAATAAATTTGCAAATCCAAAAAATAATATACCGGAATTTCAATATTAAATGTCTGTAAATAATCCATTCAACCACTTAAATTCCAATATATTAATAATAATAATAATACATATTTAATTATATGATTCATTTAAAATAGCGGACCGATTCCATCTTCCTTAGAGAGGTCTATGAAAATATTAAAACAAAAGGAAAACACATATATTTCGAAATTAAAAGAAAACAATATTTATTCGTAATAATATTTTTATTTTTAAATTTCGATTCAAATATATTCTAAATTACCAAACATAAAATGGGATGGATTATGATGGCCTAAAATATTGAATATATATTTTACTATATAAACATATGTTTCTATATCATTTAAGAATTCACATTATTTCGTTTCGAACAAATTCATGAGCTTATAATCATGTATAGTTTCGGCTTATACTACTTAGCAAATTTTGTATTAAGAGCCTCCTTATCCACCTATCTATATATCAATCTCTATTTATCTGCGAAACGATCTTAACTCCAACTCAAAAGCAAAGCCCCTTCCAAAAATAAATTTAGCGAAATATTCTAACGGAATATTAACCAAATCCATTAATGAATATTAATGTATCGCTCCGGCTCTACTGGCCGAATACTTAGCAAGATCCACCTGCAAAAAGTACTCTACGAAATATTCGGCGGGATCAATAACGAATTATTCTAAGATATTAAATAGGAGATTCGACGGGATCCATTAGTAGGCTGCTCTGGTGGGATACTCCACTAATATCCCGTTAGAGCTATTTACCAATGGATCCCGCCGAATATGTTGCTAAAGCGGTTTGCAAATAGATCCCACCAAATATCCCTTTAAGTACCTTAAATAAATTCGCCAAGGAATCTCGTCAAGTATCCTACCACAGTCCACCGAACATCTCGTTATAGAGCCCGCTAGAGTAACTCGTTAATGGATAGTAGGATCCATTGGCCAGCTGACTTAATGGGATATTCGGCGGGTTCTTAACAAACAACTTTGGCGGGATATTGGGCGGGATCCGGATCCATTAGCGAGCCGGTCTAATGGCATATTCGGCGAGATCCATTAGCAATCAACTCTAACGATATATTAAGCGGAGAGTAACTATGATGAAAAAGGATCCATTAGCGAGCAATTCTAATACGATAGTAAGCATAATCCAAATATGATTAATCAAATGAAAATTCAAATCTTTTATTTAAAAGAAACAACCATTTGAGACACCAAACAAAGACACAATTCAATGGCTTGCTGCGAGCTTAGGTTTAAAGCTGGGTTGTATCAATTAAATTGCGGAAGCTAATTTGTCTATTAGATAAGCCAAATTATATAAATCGAAATACCTAAATTATATAAATTATAAAACAAAATAAATTAAAATGAAATATTTAAATATATTAATAATAATGCAAAATCGAGACATATAATTTTATCTATTTATAATCCAATATTATTTTTAAACAAACATATATAAAATTACATTAATTCATTAAATAAAAATAAAAACAAAATATATAAATACAATTCTATAGATATATTTATATAATACCCTATATAAAATAAATTATATAAATTAAATATATAATTAAAATTATTAAATATAATATTAATAAATTATACATATATATAACACAAATTATCAAATAAATTTAATAAAATAATTAACTATATATATATTTAATATACATTACTTAATAAATATTAACAATAAAATCGAAAATCTTGAAATTTGTAACTGCCGATACAAAACGAAACGATAGCAAAAAGGGCATCATTAGCTCGAGCTGGGATTGGGTCTGTAACAAGATACATAACAATTACAGCTATTCAACCCAAGCCAAGCCGACAAAAAGGGGGGGGATTGTTGCCCCGGGCTAGGATTAAGTCAATGTATAACACGGAAAAGCGCGCCTCCCCATCTCCAATCTAATTGCATTAATTCAATACAAGCCAAACTGGCCCGATCTAGGATTAGGTCTATAACGAAATATAACACAATTGCTTACAATTATTTAAGCCAAGCTACGGCAGGAGGGGGATGCTAGCCCGAGCTGGAGTTAGGTCTATAGCGAGGTATGTAACGGCGACATATCCAGAGCTTCAACAAAATCTAACCAGTGTTCCAATTCTTAATCTTTATAAATTAACTCTTCCGCAAAATCATGCTCTGCAAGCACCGTAAAAATCGCTGCGAATCTATATATGCATTAGAATATTTAATATAAGATATATAATCAATCAGACAATTTATTTATCTAAAATATATAACGAAGATATATAACGAAGAGTGTATAACAAACCAATTGCAATAGATTTTATAATAGAGATTTATCATAAAAACATCACAACCATATTATCCAAAGATAAATAAATTTAAAATATTTAATCTATATATTAAACAAATAATTATATCAATATAAACATCAAATAACGGGAAAAAAATATATCAACACCTCCAACAACACCTCCCAAAGAACGCCCCAAACAACACCCAATCGTCAATCTCACTATTATTATATTTATATAAATATATATATATATGGGTTTATAATTACTAAAAAATCGCATACACAACATAATTCGGGATATAATTCGTCAAGGTCCCACCTTCTGCCATTTTAAATCATCTCAACACAATGGCAACACAAATCCCATAATACATATATATATATATATATATATGTACATGTTTATATTAACATTATGAATCTTAATCAGCAGTATCCAAATTAATGTATACATTTCTCATTGGAATCTAGGCGCTAGGAATTCGAATTGCTAGTGATTCAAACAACGTAGCAATTGAACCATCAGACGCGGCCTGAAGCACAGATGCGGAATCATGGTCGTGCTTGCCAAACAAGTTCTCTGCAATTGTTCCAGAGAGAGGGCTGGGAAGTTCAAACAATTCGAAGCACGCGCAAACATATCCCAGGCCATTTGCTGCTTCTGTCTGCATAGACAAAGGTTCCATTTGGTTTCCAAAGGGCCAACTCCCAAAAGCCGCAACGCGCCAGGAGATAAGCTCTGACTCTGACCAAGGGGTAGCGCCTTGTTGGAAAGGCTTCTTTGTCAGCTTTTCTTGGGGGTGATGTTTGATTTCTGGAACTCTCTGTGCAGGATAATGATGTTAAAATGAGACATGAGGATGGTTGAACAACAGCGGGACCATCACGTTGACGTAGCTGGCATCATCCTGCTAGTTCACCAACCAGGCTGGTTGTCCGAATCTATGGACTTGCATGCGACACACCCAATGCGAGAAATTCACAACGGAGTTCCTTCGGGCAAGATTGAGCATGTGGGCGATCAGCTCCAACCATTCATTTCCATCCGCACCACTGGAATCACGCCAAAGATTACTACCCTCCGATGAGGCTTCCCACCTTCCTATTCATCTGGGGTCAACATTAGGCCCTCTCAGAGCCCATTTCTCTTCTACGCCGTGTTTGGGCAGGCCAGAACTTGGTTGCTGTTGACCTTCCTGCAAAAAACTTTTTGGGGGTTGAGTGGAAAAGCCCTTGATTTCCCAAAAAGTTAAAGTCTAAAGATCCAACCCAATAGCAGTCAAGAAAAGGGCCAAACAAAAACCGCCTCCCCCCCCCCCCCCTCGCTGATCCGACCAGTGGCCTCCCTCGGCTTTTTCACCGCTGAGAAGCGGCTGGGGCCTTCGGGGGCTAAGCGCTGCCTAGAAATTTGCCTTTGCGCCAAAGACGACACAAAGGGGTTAGGGAAACTTGTAGAGAGGTTAGAATAAGTTGGTACCCTATTTTTCCCAGTCGTATTTTTTAGTAGGGGAACCCTCCCCCAACAAAGGGTAAGAGGGCACAACTGAGGGCGAAACAGATTTCTTTTGTGCCTGGGGTGCTCGCAATATTGGGGGATCAAGAGCGTGTTGATGGCTTGCTTTCCCAAAGCTAGCCTTTTTGTAAGGTTTGTGACAAGGACATTTTTTTTGTCGCTTGTGAAAAGGCCAAGACCTACTTTGTTAAAAACATATCCTGGTGTAACACGCGCCTGGAAGTTTGAGGCATCAAACGCCTGAAGAACACACAGGCCTCTCATTCTAACACGCACTGGCCCTCTCTTTTGCACGGCAAAAAGTGCCAAAGGTGACGATCGGTAATCCTAAGCTGTCATTCGTAGTGGGGCACAATCACAAGGGAAGCCACTGCAAACGGACAAACAAATGATTGAACAATGTTGATCCCCATCATCTTTAATTACATTATTCTACGCCAGGGTCCGGCCCATTTTGGGGGAAGGTGCAGCTAGAACAATCGAACAATCTCAGCCAAGTCCTCACACAGTCGGGCGCCTGCTGCTCTGGCTGGACAGCCTGAGGGCAGCGGTTCCCCCACGCGGGGGAGGTTCCTTTGTGTGGCTCTTAGGGTTCCATGTCGGGTCCTCCAACATCGGGTGAACTTGGGAAGTTGTTGGACTCCAGGTCTAGACTTGCTAACCCGGACATCGAGGAGGTTCCCAAACACTGAACATGAAGGAGCTGGAGCGTTCCAAGATATGTATTGCCGAATCCCTAACCAGCCTCTTGTAGATGGAGGCTACATAGTGGAGTTTTGGACGCCCTCCCAACTATTCCCTGTCTCGAAATTGTGCGTCCTCACAACTCTGTGTTCTAAAAAGGTACCGACCCACCAAACAACACGAAACCACACTCTTGTTGGAATAGCCTTTGGGCCATAACGCTATTCCAGTCTGAAAAACTCCCCCAAAGCTTTAACGAAAAAATATACCCGTCTATGGCACATGGACGAGAACCCGCACCTCTTGGTGGTTTTCATCTTCTACATGTGTTACTTCCGTCCCTGGTGCGACGTTCGTCGTCTGAGGTCAAGGCGCCGCAGGAGTTTGGCATCGGCCCTTGCGGTGCAAACCCACCTGGCCGTGCCCAATGCGTTCAGATCTTCCGCCAAGGGTACGGAAGTTTTGTTGGGGTTAAGTCACTTGGATGGTGAACCCTGGAAGGAAAAATGGTGGGCGGTGCCGAGCTTGGGTTTGCATCCGCTGTGTGCTTGACATATTGCTTGGCTGGGGTTCACCGGTCCGTTTCAACACAGGGCTTTAGCTCTCAATTCGATTGGGTCTTAGTTGCTACCCAGATGCTTCGCATAATTTATCCCCTACGTCCCCTCCCCCACACCATAACTTCAGGCGAAGCGAAGATCGGAGGCCCCAGCTCCAAGAAAGCGATTTGGCAACAACAAACTGAGACGTTTGGAGTGAAACCGATGGATGTGCTGGTTTTGTACTCACTGGGGCCGAAAAGAAGACTTTAACAAAGCACGCTTCCCATGGCACATGCGCTGCTTGGAAAAGAGGGCGGCAAATAACAAAGTCGTCTTCCGCCAACGAACGCCAACACGCACACACACACACACAGACACACTAACACACACACACACGCACACGCACACACACGCACACACGCACACACACACACACACAAACACGCATGCACCCATGCACCCATGCACCCATGCACACGCACGCACGCACGCACACGTATGCACACACGCACACACACACACCACACACACACACAAGCGCGCGCACACGCACACGCGCACGCGCACACGCGCACACGCGCACACGCGCACAGGCACACGCACAGGCGCACGCACAAGCACACGCACACGCACAAGCACACGCACAAGCACATGCAGACACACGCGCACGCATATGCGCACACGCACAAGCACATGCAGACACACGCGCACGCATACGCGCACACGCACACGCGCGCACGCAAACGCACACGCACACACGCACACGCACACGCACACACGCAAGCACACGCAAGCACACGCAAGCACACGCAAGCACACACACACACACACCCACGCACGCACGCACGCACGCACCCACCCACCCACCCACCCACCCACCCACGCACGCACGCACGCACGCACGCACGCACGCACGCACGCACGCACGCACCCACAGACACACAGACACACAGACACAGACACACAGACACACAGACACACACACACACCCACACACCACGTTCCCACGCACGCAAACACAAACCGAAAACTCAAAAATACAACAAGCAGTAGCACAAGCAGTAGCACAAGCAGTAGCACAAGCAACAAGCACACAAGCACACAAGCCCATAAGCCCATAAGCCCATAAGCCCATAAGCCCATAAGCCCATAAGCACAACACACACACACACAAGCGCGCGCGCACACGCACACGCGCACGCGCACACGCGCACACGCGCACAGGCACACGCACAGGCGCACGCACAAGCACACGCACACGCACAAGCACACGCACAAGCACATGCAGACACACGCGCACGCATATGCGCACACGCACAAGCACATGCAGACACACGCGCACGCATACGCGCACACGCACACGCACACGCGCGCACGCAAACGCACACGCACACACGCACACGCACACGCACACACGCAAGCACACGCAAGCACACGCAAGCACACGCAAGCACACACACACACACACAAAACACACACACACACACATACAACACATACAACACATACAACACATACAACACATACAACACATACAACACATACAACACATACAACACATACAACACATACAACACATACAACACATACAACACATACAACACATAAAACACATAAAACACATAAAACACATAACACACACACAGCACACACACACACACAACACTTACAGACACGCACACGCACACTCTCACCCACACAAATCGACACAATCGAAAAGGAGCGTTTCCGCTGCGAGATGTATGTCGAGGCACGCAGGATCCCAGCAAGCCGCTCCACCAGGATTGGTGCGACCAGTGCCGCCGCAGGCTTAACTCGCCGGATGCCGTCACCTGATGGAGCCAAGTGCCTTGCCCCCCAACAGCGCCTAGCCACAGAGCAACAACAAAGCGTTGCCCAACGCCCGATGTTAAACCCAAGCGGTAAATACAAGGAGCCAAGTTCATGTGTGAAAATCCCTGCGGAAGAAGACGTGAGCGACGTTGCTTGCAAAGTAGTTGCGACCTTCATTGCGCAGAGAATGGTTTGGGCACGTTGACGTTGGCGCAGCAGAACGAGCCTGGAGGGATTTCACGAGCCAAGAAGGGAAGGATGTGCAAAGAAGGGAAGCAGGGGAAGAGGAGGGGAGGAGGCGATCAAAGGGCGGAGTTGGGAGGGACAAACCAGACTATCACTCACACAACCGCAAGCCATCTCTTTGACGCAAACATGACAACCAAGGCAAACAAATATGACAACCACAACTCTGAAAACCCCTCAGCTCCATGCTTGCCTTTTGGTCTAGGCCATGGGTGCTAGGCTTCCATAGGATTCCATAGGGCTTTGCTAAGCTTCGGATGAGACGAAAAACACATTTCCGGCCTCGCAATGGCGAGGCTCAGCGACCCGATTGTCCTTGGATGCGCCATGTCTGCGCAAGCTCACCCAAAGTGCAACCTACCGCGTCGGAAAGTGCTGGGCGTTCAACGCTGAACCTTCCATTTTGCTTCTGGCCAGCACTAAGTCTCTGTCTCTTTCTCTCTCTGTTTGTATGTTTAAACATTTGATGCTGAGACAGGTCCGGCACCAAGGATTCACTTGACAAATTTGTTGCGGCGTGTGGCAACAAGTTACCTGCAACGAAGCAAATGCTTCGACTTCCAACTCGTGGCTTGAATGCACGAGCACTGAGCTGGGCAGGCGACCGTTCTTTGCACAACCCCCACTCTGCCACCAAAGGTCTGCGAAATGAAGCACCTTGGGGCACCAGATTCCAGGTCCTTTTTCCAGGACGCCAGGAACCATTAGCTCCTGACCCCATAAGATCGTCAATCAGCTTGTAACTTCTTGATTGCCAGAGGCAGGAGAATTCTAGCAGGGACCCTTGCACAATTGCACACCTTACAACATTCACTTCCCAGGTTTCAACATGGGGTCAACCTTTCTTCAGAAGCCCAGAGGCATCCAGAGGCCGTTTGAAAACGAACAGCCCCGCACTTTGTTGGTTGGTTGATTCTAAAGGAAATGGCCATGGGTCAAAAGCCCGTACCCCCAGTGAACATCCCAATCCCCACTAAAATCGACTAAAATGGGTGGTGCACCTACCCCCAAAATGGTACGACCCACGGCCAAATCATTCTCAAAGGAAGCCAGCGTGCCAGCCCTTGGCTTGCCATGCAGCGATGCTTGGGGCAGGCTCCAGGTCGACCGCCTGCCAACACAGCCCAAACAAACCATCTCTACTCGCACGCAAGTACCCCTTTTCCTGTAGTCCATTTTAGTAGGGGAACCCTCCCAACCAAAAAAAAGGTGAGAAAGGGCACTATTGGGGACCTAGCTAAGTATGGCAGCAACAAACTTCAAGTTTTTTTCCGCGGTCCGGTAAAAATGAACAGAACCAAAAAACTAAAAAACAAAAACATGCCAAGAACAGCGAAGTGTCAGCTTCAAGCCCAAACCCAGAATTTCAATCTGTTCTAGATCAGTCTGGGAAAACTGGTTGCCTGGGTTCAAGAGGCGTGTGCTGAATTTAAACTAGATGCGAACTCAGAGCGGTTGAAATCAGAGCGGTTGTAATCAGTGAGTGCAAGCTATGTGAGTGAGTGGAGTGGAGTGGAGTGGAGAGGAATGGAGTGGAGTGGAGTGGAATGGAGTGAAGTGGAGTGGGGAGTGGAGAGTGGAGAAGAGTGGAGAGTGGAGTGGAGTGGAGTGGAGTGGAGTGGTGTGGTGTGAGGGTGGGTGGGTGGGTGGGGTTGGGGTTGGGGTTGGGGTTGGGGTTGGGGTTGGGGTTGGGGTTGGGGTTGGGGTTGGGGTTGCGGTTGCGGTTGCGGTTGCGGTTGCGGTTGGGTTGGGGTTGGGGTTGGGTTGGGGTTGGGGTTGGGTTGGGTTGGGTTGGGTTGGGTTGGGTTGGGTTGGGTTGGGTTGGGTTGGGGTGGGTTGGGGTGGGTTGGGGTGGGTTGGGGTGGGTTGGGGTGGGTGGGTGGCTGGGTGGGTGGGTTGAGTAAGTGAGTGAGTGACTTCGTGCGCGTGCGCGTGCGTGCGTGCGTGCGTGCGTGCGTGCGTGGGTGGGTGGGTGCGTGGGTGGGGTGGGTGGGTGGGTGGGTGGGTGGGTGGGTGGGTGGGTGGGTGGGTGGGTGGGTGGGTCGGTGGGTGGGTGGGTGGGTGGGTGGGGTGGGTGGGTGGGTGGGTGAGGGAGGGAGAGAGGAAGTGGAGTGAGTGGACTGAGTGGAGTGAGTGGAGGGAGTGGAGTGAGTGGAGTGAGTAGAGTGAGTGCAGTGAGTGCAGTGGGCGGGCGGGCGGGCGGGCGAGGGAGGGGAGCGGAAGTGGAGTGAGTGGAGTGAGTGGAGTGAGTGGAGTGAGTGGAGTGAGTGGAGTGAGTGGAGGGAGTGGAGGGAGTGGAGGGAGTGGAGGGAGTGGAGGGAGTGGAGTGAGTGGAGTGAGTGGAGTGAGTGGAGTGAGTGGAGTGAGTGGAGTGGGTGGAGTGAGTGGAGTGGGTGGAGTGAGTGCAGTGGGTGGAGTGAGTGCAGTGGGTGGAGTGAGTGCAGTGGGTGGAGTGAGTGCAGTGGGTGGAGTGAGTGCAGTGGGTGGGTGGGTGGGTGGGTGGGTGGGTGGGTGGGTGGGTGGGTGGGTGGGTGGGTGGGTGGGTGGGTGGGTGGGGTGGGTGGGTGGGTGGGGTGGGTGGGTGGGTGGGTGGGTGGGTGGGTGGGTGGGTGGGTGGGTAGGTGGGTGGGTGGGTGGGTGGGTGGGTGGTGGGTGGGTGGGTGGGTGGGTGGGTGGGTGGGTGGGTGGGTGGGTAGGTGGGGTGGGTGGGTGGGTAGGTGGGTGGGTGGGTGGGTGGGTGGGTGGGTGGGTGGGTGGGTAGGTGGGTGGGTGGGTGGGTGGGTGGGTGGGTGGGGGTGTGGGTGGGGTGGGTGGGTGGGGGTGGGTGGGTGGGGTGGGTGGGTGGGTGGGTGGGGTGTGGGTGGGTGGGTGTGGGTGTGGGTGGTGGGTGGGTGGGGGTGGGTGGGTGGGTGGGTGGGTGTGGGTGGGTGTAGGTGGGTGGGGGTGGGTGGGTGGGGGGGTGGGGGTGGGTGGGTGAGGGTGGGTGGGTGGGTGGGTGGGGTGGGTGTGTGGGTGGTGGGGGTGGGTGGGTGGGTGGGTGGGTGGGTGGGTGGGTGGGTGGGTGGGTGGGTGGGTGGGTGGGTGGGGGTGGGTGGGTGGGTGGGTGGGTGGGTGGGTGGGTGGGTGGGTGGGTGGGTGGGTGGGTGGGTGGGTGGGTGGGTGGGTGGGTGCGTGGGTGGGTGGGTGGGGTGGTGGGTGGGTGGGTGAGTGGGTGAGTGGGTGGGTCTCCTAAGATAAAGGGACCCCCCAATGGGTGGTTCCCATATGTCTTTGCTTCCCCTACCCTCCCACCAACTAACATGGAAGAGCACAAAAGCCCCTTGCCAAAAGGAAAGTTGTCTTTCTACCGGGGTCTGTGCACCTCCATGCTAGCTCGTCCAGTAGAGAGGCTAGAATGAGGGTACCAACTTCTTTCTGTGGTCTAGGGATAAAAGGGTACTATTGGGGAACCTAGCATATTAGTTGGAGGGAGGGTAGCACCAAAAAGTGTATCCTCAAAAACAAGACTCACCCACACACGAGTCGTTTTTTCCATGCCGCGGCCTTGCTGGGCAGGAAGTGCTTCAATGAGTGGCAGTCTTGGATGGTGCTCTTAGCATCGTGGATGTGCACCTGCTCTGAGTGGCGACATCCCACCTAAACGATGTCCACCGAATGGTCCGCAACTAAGATGTATACCCATATGGGTTCGTATTTTTCTTGAGGGTAGGTTGGCTTGCATGGAACATTCCAAGGAAAACCACAATTTTGGTGTCCCACTGTTCTGACACAAACCCATGTCACCCCACAATTTCCTTCCAGATCCTTGGAGGCCTTTAATCCCACTCCCATGCTTTGCCAACCCCGAACATCAACCTTCCACCTTCCCTAGGCCAGACTCAAACCCATCCTCAATCAAGCCTGCATGCAGGCTAAGCAAACCAAAAGGCGGTCTCCAGCGAGCCATGAGGCAAAGTATCCTGTGAGTCCCATCCTGAGGCGTTGTGTCTGCAACATGTGGCAGTGGGTCAAAAAATGGTACCCAACTGGAAGCCTGGTAAATGGAACCAAGGACTAAAACCTGCGGTCTTCTGGTGGCTTAATTTTGACCCATACCCATGTCCAAAAGTGAAACCTGGGCGGCTGACCTCTTATTGCATGCTCGTAGAGGCCCACCCCGAGTCGGGGGCTTTGATTGGTGGATGTGAACCAGGGCTCCTGATTGCACGACATGGCGAAGGCATCTTGTTCTCCGAAGAAGATGCCAAGTCAGGAAATACGCAAGGAATGCGGTCCAACAACCCCAAGATGTTATGCCTAAAACCAACGAAGATAAACATGCTGTGGGTCCAAGGCTGGAAATTGAGGCTCGCTCGGTGCAACTCGGTGCTTTTGCGCTTCTTTTTTTTTGGGGGGGGACCCCTTCAACAGCCGCCAATCACTTCCTCTATTTGCTTAAGTCCACCAACATACTTCCACTGGTGATCCATTCCCTTTTCATGGACCCACAGGGGGGCTATCCCTTATTCAGCCCTTAGTAAGGCCTGATCCTTGGGTTATCCTGGGCTGGGCCCCCCCCATAGCCCCTTCGAAGATTCCATACCTTTAAAACAAACAGGGATCAAAAACATTGTCCTGATGCTCACATGGAAGACTGTCAAGGTGACTCCTTCAAAATTGATAGCCATACCTTGTAACGACCCTTATTATTTTTTGTGGGTCCAATGGAAAATCCACTGTTTCCCAGAAAGTGAAAGTTCCAGAGACCAAAGATCCAAGCACACATCCATGAAACAACTGCAGCCCGCTCCCTTTTGAAGCTCCCAACCCTTTGCACAATCTCCGCCTGGGCGTTTCCGAGGTCCATGTGCTGAAGACCCCAAGAGGCCCAGTCCTTTGGCAAGAGCATGCCTGTTGATTCACCCTGCAACCACACCCCTGGGGGGAACCTGTTGGGAGTTGATGACTTTTGGGTAAGCCAACCGGGATTCCGGCGCGACTCGTCAGGCGGGATCTCACTCCTCCCTCCTCCCCAACTTGCCAAGGAATGCGCCTTGAGAGCTTGTAGGACCACGACTGCGAATGATGTGTCTTTAGAGGGTACCCTTTCACTTTTGGGCCCCCTCTGACATACCCCAAGTAGATCACTGACATGACATGAGGAGTTGAATCTCTTTGGGCCAGTGACCACAGCCATTTTCAGGGATGGGTTTTGGAGACACGGAGCGAAACCACAAACATCAGCTTGCAAAGCAGTACTCCTTGCAGTGGTTAACCTCCAGACCTCCAAGACTACCTGAAAATTCTCCTGACCTGAGAGAAACAACCGACATGTTGCGAACTCAGTTGCAAGGACGACCTTTGGCTGGAACTGCCTCTGTTCACCAGCGAAACTCATGGGTTAATGGGTCCTATGGCCAGGGTTCATCCTACCATGTGGACTCCTGGTAGCTCCTTAGCTCCCTCCATGCCTAGGTCCTCCAGTAGAGAGGTTAGACTAAGGGTAACCCTCCCCCAAACAAGAAAGGGCACCAATTGCTGGGGGGGAAGATAAATGCGAAAATTTGGCTCCCTAAGCAACCGCTCGCTCTGATTCATGGCGCCCCTTGGTTCCTTGGTTCCTTGGAGGTCCGTGAGCCCCACATTTTCGCCCAGCGTCGCCCTCCACACGATGCGCGTGCAAAGTGGTTCTGGACAGCGGGGTGAAGGAGGACTTCAGTGGAGACGTGGCCTCAACGCCACTCCAAACAGAAAAGGCGAGTGTGCCACCGAACAAGGGTTTCCAGTGGAGCCGATTTTAGTAGGGGACCCTCCCCTAAAACAGGGTAAGAAGGCACTACTGGGGGACCTAGTGGCGCCACCCCGAACTGGAAATCAAAACCATGAGGGGCTCACTAATTTAGCATCCTACTGCATTGGCCCAAAGCAAACGCTGGGAATTGTTAGGGACATGGAGATTAGCCAGCAAAAAAGGGTTGCTCCAACCCTGAGCGTGGTAAACAAAATGGCGAAAGGGAAGCTTCTACCCCTGCGGCTGGCTCATCTTCAGGCTCCTTATGGAATCGCTAACATCACCTTACGGGAATCTCCCTTTGGGGTACTGTTACACCTCCTTTATTAATAGCACCCTCTATTATAGCATGTGTTTCGCTATTCACAATCTTGTGACTGTTTTAGGGTCCTCAATTGCAGCAAATTGTTTCCCCGAAATTTTCTTTAACTCTCCTGATCTTGTCTGGGACTATCCCTCCAAAAAGCATATGGGCCAAACAAGCTTGGCGAAGACGTCGAGGACAAAAACGAGCAAACAAATCCGGGCAAACAGGATTTTTGAAGTGGTCCCCAAACCATCAAATTTAAGATAACTTCCTTACAAAAAGTGCGGGCAAACAGTCGCACAAAGAGGGTGGTTGCCAGGAGTGGAACCAGTCAGCTGGACCCTCTTTAGGCAAAGTTCTGGGGGTCTGGGAGGGACAGTGCTCACTTTAGTATTGCCAATTCGACTTGAGTATTCCCACGGCCGACCCTCAGATTCCCAGTGCCTACGTTAGTATTGCCACTTCTACTTTAGACACAAAAGAGGACCCCGAAATACTTTTTTGTATAGACGTTGTGTTAAATCCGCCGACATTGCTCGGCGTGTCGGACACCTAAGAGAGGATAGAGGATAACCCCCCCCCCCCAAACCCCCTCGCCCGACGTGATACGTGGGGTGCAGGGGGTCCCCCACGTACCGCGCGGTAATTTGATGACAGGGGTCCCAGGCTCGATTCCCCCTTTCTGCCTAAATCTGGACAAACTCTGTGTTTTTGGACGTCCTCTTTGCGAAAACACTGGAAAAACCGTGTTTTTGACGGGAAATACTGGGGAGCAAAGGGGAAATGCAAGGAAGTGCAAGGAAATGAGGGGAGGAAATAGGAAGTCGACATGACAGGAATGCAACGGGAAATGACAGGGAAACAAAGGGGAACTGAAAGGGACATGAAAGGGACAGAAATGAAAACTGTAACAAGGGGAGTGCAGGGGGAATGAAAGGGACACAAAGCACAAGGAAACCAATCGGCACGCCGGGAGATGTAGGGAAATGACTCGCATCGAAAGAACGGGACATACATTGAAAATGAAGCGGACATACCGAGAAAACGTCAGGGACATGAAGGGGGAGCTGAAAGGAATGGAAGGGACATGACCAGGACATCATGGGAAACGTGAAAAGGACATGAAGGGGAAATCAAGGGGAAAGCGAGTAGTGAGATGACAGTTCAGGGTCATGAAGGGGCCGGACATCGAGGCAACTCAGAGGGGACGTGACGCTGCAATGCAGAGAGAGAGAGAGAGAGAAAGAGAGACAGGGAGAGAGCGGGAGAGAGAGAGAGAGAGAGAGAGAGGGAGAGAGACAGAGAGCGAGACACAGAGAGCGAGAAAGAGAGAGACAGAGACAGAGATACAGTAGACAGAGAGAGAGAGAGACAGAGAAAGAGAGACACAGACAGACAGAGAGAGAGAGAGAGAGACACAGAGAAAGAGCGAGAAAGAGAGAGAGAGAGAGAGAGAGAGAGAGAGACTAGGTCCTCCAGTAGAGAGGTTAGAATTAGGGTACCCTTTTTCTGTAGAGGGGCGTGGACAGGAAGGAGACAGGGAGACAGAAAGAGACAGAGAAACAGAGAGAGAGAGAGAGAGAGAGAGAGCGAGAGCGAGAGAGATAGAGAGAGACAGATAGAGAGAGAGAGCGAGAGAGATAGAGAGAGAGAGAGAGACAGATAGAGAGAGACAGAGAGAGGGAGATTGAGGCGAGAGAGGCTTGGGGGGATGGGGGGGATGGGGAGCAGAGGGAGACAAGGGAGACAGGAAGAAGGAGAAAAGGGAGAGGACAATGTCGGCAGACTGAGCCGGAGGCTCTAAAGTTTGATGGTTTGGGGGCCACTGGCAAAATGAACTTCCTAGATCCAAGGCCTTTACCCTTTAAGCTGGGAAGAGCTTGGTTAGGTGAACCACCCTAATTGGACACTAAAGAGGGCGCAATACAGTCACATTGAAGAGGCTCAGGGGGGCGGTGGTGTGAAGAGGGTCCAACATTAATTACCATCTTCTTGGGTTCCATGTTGATGTGGGGGATTGTCTGAACGGCGAACATCTCCTTGTAACTGCAATGGCTCAAATCCTGGTTTCAGGAGTGTGGGAGCCACATTCGATCAGGGTCTGGATCAAACGAAAGGTCCAATTTAGTACGCTTCTTCCCATTTGCGGCAAGGGTCAACAAACAACATGTTCACAAGTCATCATTGCTCTCCAACACCAGCACCGGAAAAAAAAAGGAAGGACAATCAGCTTGTTGCGCAAATCAAGGCATCCGCGATTCCATGATTCAATTGAAAGATCATTGGTTCCAGACATCACCCACAAATGGCGGCATTCCTTCGGTTTCCTTTCAAACCAACCCACAAGGAAGACACAGGCACGGTGAAATTCCAATCCAAGGCTCGGTGTTGAACACGTCAATGCGCTCGAAGGCTAAGCCCTGCAAGTCTTCCACCGCTTTGGCCTCGGGAAACGCTCGGAAACTCCACGTTTACCATGCGGCACCAATATATTTCCCTTGCGGCACCCGGGGCAAGCTAAGCTAGGTCCTCCAGTAGAGAGGTTAGAATAAGGGTGCCCGATGTTTTTTTGTCTGTAATCTTTTTTGCTAGTAGGGGAATCCTCCCCAAAAAAAAGTTGGTGAGAAAGGGCACCACCTAGTAAGGCAAAAACGCACTTATTCATGTCGGACATTTGGAGATCGCTGACACCTCGACTGAACAAACACCCATGAATACAACCGCTTCGCCGCCGAGCCGAATCAAATCTGGAAACATGCCTGCGGATGCTTAACAATCTATTTCCAGATTCCAGAGCACCCGCATGACCATCAATTCATCCCCCTCCGGCCAAAATCCCAAACTGAAACTACAAGAAGGGACATTTACTGGCGATTGGGCCGAAGGCCCAAACAAGCAAAGCTTGTTCAGCTTTGGAATGGTTTTGGTCCTTCGTTTGCAACCCAATCCGCGGTCCACGCGCATATCGGACAGTCAGCTCACCATGGAAAGCCCCCTTTGACAAAAGTCGCCGGGGCGCTGGTTGCACATTGCCCAATTGCCAGTTCAGCTTTTCAGCAAACTTGCGGAGCAAAAGGGAGAACTACCCATGTGAAGGAGGCCAGCGGTCATATGCAATCCCAGTTGCCTAGTAGCAACCTTGTTTGCTTTCAGTTGGTTCTGGTTGCCCTTAAGAAGGAGTCACCAAAAGACAACTTGATTGATCCTCACTTTAGAATCGGGAGATAATGAATCCTCCAACCAGCATGGTCCTCATGAATACGACATAAACACTAAGACCATCCCTAGCTTTTGTCATCTGTCGCCCACCCCAAATGCTATTTCTGATTCTGGTTCATAGTTGGCGAACCTTGAAATGACGTGCTGGCAATAATTGGGCAATGACCGTTTCGGGTGTTGGGAACGAACCGAAACCCTAGGAAGCTTTTTCTTGGGGCATGGCCTGCCAATTTCGAACCAGCAAAGGCGATCCAACCAAACTCCCCGCAAATTTTCGGGGGTGGGGGGGGGGGGAGAAAAAAAAACAACAAACGCCGAAACCGCCCAAACCGCCCAAACCGCTGCCGAGGAACCGTGTGCAAAATCACAGCCCCACCCAGGGAATGGCCACATCCATAGGACACCTCAGCTCGAGCGCCGAAAGCGAGCGAAGACCGGAGACCCGGCATTCAGCGCATCCTCTCTCAGTGTGGGATTTTCCATGGGGGAGAAACCGCATCGGCATCCAATCTGTTTGGTAAACAATCGGTTGGCTGGTCAAAAAAGGGCATTATTTTTTTTGTTGGTTGAGTTTTTGTAGGGCGAACCCTTCCCCCCAAAAAAGGTGAGAAAGAAGGGGCGGAAGCTACCGGGCAACAAAGCTCTGATCAGAATTAGACCCCGTCCGGTTCCATGGCAACCTGCGGAGGGAGGGGAGAGGCCTAGATTCTTCGTGACCAAATCCCCCGGGGCGAAATAACTTAATCACGCGGCGGCTTGACCATGTTTCAACAGAAGGCTGGCATGCTGTTGGCAGCGTGGGCCTGAAAGGATGGCAGTCTCTTGGGGTCCGTGGTCACTCGAGCTAAAATCGGTGGGGGGCGTGTGGGGGGCTACCAGCCTTGGGAAGCCACTTGCCTAAAAAAAATCGAACTCTGAACAAATCTTCGATCCCTGACCTAAGGAGAGAAAGGCTCAGGCACAAAGCAGTCGTAACATTTCCATGCCCAGCATCCAGAAGCGCTGCATCCGAGGCACGTAGCCCGGAAAGGACTCCCGTACCCTCCGGTACTCCCTGAGAGCCGTGTCTGCCCTTGGCGGGCCTTGGCGCTTTTTTTTTCTGCACGCACAGAAAAAGCGGCCGGACCCGGGCAAAAAGATCCACCTGTTGCATAGTCAAGTCGTGGAAGTGTGGCTTAAATCACATTCTTCGGGCCTCTGATGAATCCGCAGGAAGAGGAGAGCTTTCTCCATTCCCCGATGTTGGCCTTTCCGGATGCCGGCTCTCGGTCGCCCGGAAAGCACCGTTGCATTTGACAGACCAAGGGGCCATATCCGAGGATGATGCTCACGTTACTTCGCATGTCCTTGGCAGCAGAGACCAAACTAACCCACACGCACATATGCATGTGCCACGTCGAAACCCCAAGAAGTCGCAAGAACACGTATGGCGATGACGATGGCTACTCCGTGCCCGAAAGAAATCCCGGGCCTTTGATCGCCGCGACAAATGACTTGGATAACTTCCTCAACAGCTGATTGCAAGATTGAGGTTTTGCGTTTCTGACGAGAAATGGAGCTTTGACGTACTTGCAAAGCTCACTCTGGACACGTGAAGCGAGAAGCATATGCATCTGTCTCAAGCTGCAAGGAGGGGGATTACTGTACATTCCTACGGTTGGGCCTGGCCCACGTTAAACCGTAATAAACATGTTAGACCTCTGTAAACCAAACAAAAAACCTTCAAAGGGTGTCAGGGTCTGCATATTTCATCGTATTTCCAGCCACTCCTGGGCATTCTGGGCATTCAGACATCACATGCTAGGACCTTTGGTGAAACCGACGGTGGGGGCTCTACCCTGAGACGAGGCAAAGCTGATACCCTGAAACAGCCAATGGCCCGCGGTTTTTTGGGACATCCAAGCAGCGTTCGGCGTGGTGCGGGGGTTGAAGCTTCTGTCCGTCCCACGCACCGCAGAAAAAAGGCACTGGGCCGAATGGTCCGCGAAGCACACCAGATCTAGACCTCAGGCTTGACAAATGTGGGAGATCAGGGCGTGAATGAAATAGCCCCACAACCATAGGTGACCTCTTGGCAAAAAAAAAATGGCCCTGGTAAATGAAAAACCCACCTAAACCAGTGCCATCTATTTCTAGCCAAACTAACCCAAAAAGGACACCTAACCCACAATTCTCAAGTTCTCAGTGTCCCACAAGGCATGGACAATTTCTATTCTCTCTTCCCAGCCCCTATTTGACGCCGGCTAAGCAAAGCAAGGCGTTGATTCTCGGGATGTTCTGGGCATTGACAAAGGGCGACTATGGGTATGAAGCTGAACTTGGGCGCCCTTGGTGGGCATCGTATCTGGCGACTTATCTCCACCAACCATTCTATAGCTCACTTCCTGAGTGGACTGGCCAAATAAAGTCTGAACTTTTCATTTGCCAGTCACATGGTCTTTCCCGAAAGTTGAAAGTCTCAGGAAGTGCGAAATGCACTTGGCCTCTTGTCTTTCAATCTGCTAGCAAAGGATCTGCTGGAAACCAAAGGGACTCTATTTGGGCGTCGATTTGGAGACAAGCGCTGACCACAAAGGGCCGCGTGCAACTTGGAAAGCCGCTCTCCTCGCACACGCGGAATCTCTTGCAAACTGAGCTCAGGATACTCCAAATGGCGATTCCTCTCACGCTGAGGCTTCATCCGCAGAATCGTGTTCTCTTTCACTGACTAAGGGAAACCATGCGATGTTGACAAAAAGCAAGGGCCCTCCCCTTGATTCATGAGGTGGGGACCTTTCTCCCTCATTTCTTCCGGGGGTTTTGCAATGTTTGATCTGGAGGCAATATCTTCGGATTCGAGAGGACAGGACAGCGCGAATCATAATTCTCTCCATGTGGGGAATTGATGCATGCCATCATGGGGCCTGGGGAAGAAGGGAGGGAGCCCAAATAAGGCTTTATTAAGGGCTTTTATGTTAAGAGCCAATTTGGGCTCCCTACCCTTCCCCTCCCCTCCCCTCCCCTCCCTTCCCTTCCCCTCCCCTCCCCTCCCCTCCCTTCCCCTCCCCTCCCCTCCCCTCCCCTCTCCTCCTCCCCTCCCCTCCCCTCCCCTCTCCTCCCCTCCCCTCCCCTACCAGGGCTGTGGCTGGCAAACTCCACGGTCAGCCGCCGCAGCTTCTCGAATTCGGGGTAGTCGTCGGCAACTCGTCCCAGCGCAGCCTGGGATGTTCGAGGGAGAAAAAAGGCGGAAAGGGTCACCAACTCCATGTTACACTGCGACTAACATGGAAGCTCCCAGAAGCGTAAATTGACTAGGTCCTCCAGTAGAGAGGCTAGAATAAGGGTACCAACTCTTTTCTGTAGTCTCAAAAAATTGGTCAAAGGGCACTACTGGGGGACCTAGTTGATCCAAGTGTTCCAAAGGCTCCTGAGAGCTTGAAAGTTGGCCTGGAGGGTAAAAGGGTTCCCCGATTCTTTTCACCCAGCGCTCTCTATAGAAATCACTTTTCCACAGAAGTTTGCTGGCCATAGTCTTGAAGAGAAGCATCCCTGGCTAGATTGGTCTCACCTACAAGCTGAAACTATAAATGGAGATCTTGAGGGGTGACCCACTCCCCCAATTCCACGCATAGCCTGTGCACGCTTTAGTTCCCGATGCGGGTTGCGGAATCCTGTGGGTCTCATGGAAAGGACAACTCGCAAGTGTGTTTTTTTGGGGAGACCATCTCAAAAAAGCCACATACCTATAAGAAATGGTTTGTGCATTTCAGCATATTTCAGCCCAAGACCCTAGCAAGCCTGATATGGCCTGGAGGAGCATGGGAGGTAGCCATGAAGGTTGGTTACAAATGCAATGCCTTCTGGCCTAAGGAAACATGCACATGTGGGATTTCAACCACACCTACCTCCAAGACACCCGACCAAAATGTGGCTTACCTTGGTTTTTGTCCTCACTTGCCCAAAGGACCCAGAAAAAAAAAGGCGATCACCTCTTGGCACCTTTGGCTAATTAAACATGGACCAAGAAGGGAAAACCAAAAGGTCAGCTCAGGTCGATTCGCTTTGGGCAAGTGTTTTAACATGGCCTCCAACCATCCTGAAGCTTTTAACGCCACGCCTGGCGGATGGATAAATCAATCGGAATTTGGCGTCGCTGGGGGTAAGCCACCCCTCTAATCCAGAGATTCAGGGTAAACCGAGGTACCAGTTTCACAAAAAGAATCAGCGCTTTTCGTCAGTCATGAACAATACTGTGGGTGTGTGTCTGTGTGTTTCCTTTATTTGGGGCGGGAGCTGTGCGTTTGTTTCGTTTTGCAAGCAAACCAAAAGGAAACAAACCATGTTGGGGTCTCTTCATTTTGAGGCGAGCTTACTTCAACCCAACTTGAAAATACGCAAATCAGCTCAAGCCCACACACGACATGTTCATGCCAAGGGGTTCAAGTCGCAAACTGGCAGACTAAGGAATATCGAACACGGTTGGTCTCCACATCTCTGGGCAAAAACCCGTCTTGGAGCTCACCCCCAACCCCCGCCCCCACCCCAATCACCCACCCCCACCCCAACATCTGCATGGGGGGTAGGAACAGCTTCGTATTGTAGCAAAAAGCTTCTCTTTTGAAGCCCGTCTAAAACTGAACAGAACATAACAGAACCTCAGATGCCCAGCGGCCATGGGAAAGAAGGGCATCCTTTTTTGGTTAGTTGAGCTTCAAGGGGAACGTCCCACAAAACAAGGAAGCAACCCACTAGGCAACTTGGGAGCCAAGAAACCAAAAAAACAAACCAACCAAGATCAACCAAAACCAACAAAAAATCAACAAACATCAACCAAAACCAACAACACAACAAACAACATCAACCAAAACCAACAAAACAATCAACAAACATCAACCAAAACCAACAAAACAATCAACACACCTCAACCAAAACCAACCAACAAGATCAACCAAAGCCAACCAAAACCAACAAACAAATCAACAAACATCAACCAAAACCAACAAAAAATCAACAAAAAATCAACAAACATCAACCCAAACCAACAACACAACAAAAAACATCAACCAAAACCAACAAAAAACCAACAAAGAATCAACAAACATCAACCAAAACCAACAACACAACAAAACACATCAACCAAAACCAACAAAAAATCAACAAAAAATCAACAAACATCAACCAAAACCAACAACACAACAAAACACATCAACCAAAACCAACAAAAAATCAACAAACATCAACCAAAACCAACAAAAAATCAACAAACATCAACCAAAACCAACAAAAAATCATCAAACATCAACCAAAACCAACAAAAAATCAACAAACATCAACCAAAACCAACAAAAAATCAACAAACATCAACCAAAACCAACAAAAAATCAACAAACATCAACCAAAACCAACAAAAAATCAACAAACATCAACCAACACCAACAAAAAATCAACAAACATCAACCAAAACCAACAAAAAATCAACAAACATCAACCAAAACCAACAAAAAATCACAAACATCAAGCAAAACCAACAAAAAATCAACAAACATCAACCAAAACCAACAAAAAATCAACAAACATCAACCAAAACCAACAAAAAATCAACAAACATCAACCAAAACCAACAAAAAATCAACAAACATCAACCAAAACCAACAAAAAATCAACAACATCAAAACCAACAAAAAATCAACAAACATCAACCAAAACCAACCAAAAATCAACAAACATCAACCAAAACCAACAACACAACAAAACACATCAACCAAAACCAACAAAAAATCAACAAACATCAACCAAAACCAACAAAAAATCAACAAACATCAACCAAAACCAACAAAAAATCATCAAACATCAACCAAAACCAACAAAAAATCAACAAACATCAACCAAAACCAACAAAAAATCAACAAACATCAACCAAAACCAACAAAAAATCAACAAACATCAACCAAAACCAACAAAAAATCAACAAACATCAACCAAAACCAACAAAAAATCAACAAACATCAACCAAAACCAACAAACAATCAACAAACATCAACCAAAACCAACAAAAAACCAACAAACATCAACCAAAACCAACAAAAAATCAACAAACATCAACCAAAACCAACAAAAAATCAACAAACATCAACCAAAACCAACAAAAAATCAACAAACATCAACCAAAACCAACAAAAAATCAACAAACATCAACCAAAACAAACATCAACCAAAACCAACAACCAACAAACAACATCAACCAAAACAACAAAAAAAACAACAAAATCAACAAACATCAACCAAACCAACAAACAACAAACAACACAACAAAAAACAAACATCAACCAAAACCAACAACACAACAAACAACATCAACCAAAACCAACAAAAAATCAACAAACATCAACCAAAACCAACAACAAACAACAACATCAACCAAAACCAACAAAAAATCAACAAACATCAACCAAAACAACAACACAACAAACAACATCAACCAAAACCAACAAAAAATCAACAAACATCAACCAAAACCAACAACACAAACAAACATCAACAAAACCAACCCAACAAACAACATCAACCAAAACCAACAAAAAAAACAACAAGCAATCAACAAACATCAACCAAAACCAACAACACAACAAACAACATCAACCAAAACCAACAACACAACAAACAACATCAACCAAAACCAACAAAAAATCAACAAGCATCAACCAAAACCAACAACAAATCACAACATCAACCAAAACCAACAAAAAATCAACAAACATCAACCAAAACCAACAACCAACAAACAAACAACATCAACCAAAAACAAAAAATCACAAACATCAACCAAAACCAACAACACAACAAACAACATCAAAATCAACAACATCCAACCAAAACCAACAACACAACAAACAACATCAACCAAAACCAACCAATCAACAAAATCAACAAACACTCAACCAAAACCAACAACACAACAAACAACATCAACCAAAACCAACAAAAAATCAACAAACATCAACCAAAACCAACAAACAACAACAAACAACATCAACCAAAACCAACAAAAAATCAACAAACATCAACCAAAACCAACAACACAACAAACAACATCAACCAAAACCAACAAAAAATCAACAAACATCAACCAAAACCAACAACACAACAAACAACATCAACCAAAACCAACAAAAAATCAACAAACATCAACGAAAACCAACAACACAACAAACAACATCAACCAAAACCAACAAAAAATCAACAAACATCAACCAAAACCAACAACACAACAAACAACATCAACCAAAACCAACAAAAAATCAACAAACATCAACCAAAACCAACAACGCAACAAACAACATCAACCAAAACCAACAAAAAATCAACAAACATCAACCAAAACCAACAACACAACAAACAACATCAACCAAAACCAACAAAAAATCAACAAACATCAACCAAAACCAACAACACAACAAACAACATCAACCAAAACCAACAAAAAATCAACAAACATCAACCAAAACCAACCCAACAAACAACATCAACCAAAACCAACAAAAAAAACAAAAAAAACAAACATCAACCAAAACCAACAACACAACAAACAACATCAACCAAAACCAACAAAAAATCAACAAACATCAACCAAAACCAACAACACAACAAACAACATCAACCAAAACCAACAAAAAATCAACAAACATCAACCAAAACCAACAACACAACAAACAACATCAACCAAAACCAACAAAAAATCAACAAACATCAACCAAAACCAACAACACAACAAACAACATCAACCAAAACCAACAAAAAATCAACAAACATCAACCAAAACCAACAACAAATCAGCCAAACATCAACCAAAACCAACCCAACAAACAACATCAACCAAAACCAACAAAAAAAAACAACAAAAAATCAACAAACATCAACCAAAACCAACAACACAACAAACAACAGGAACCAAAACCAACAACACAACAAACAACATCAACCAAAACCAACAAAAAATCAACAAACATCAACCAAAACCAACAACAAATCAGCCAAACATCAACCAAAACCAACCCAACAAACAACATCAACCAAAACCAACAAAAAAAACAACAAGCAATCAACAAACATCAACCAAAACCAACAACACAACAAACAACATCAACCAAAACCAACAACACAACAAACAACATCAACCAAAACCAACAAAAAATCAACAAGCATCAACCAAAACCAACAACAAATCAGCCAAACATCAACCAAAACCAACAAAAAATCAACAAACATCAACCAAAACCAACAACACAACAAACAACATCAACCAAAACCAACAAAAAATCAACAAACATCAACCAAAACCAACAACAAATCAGCCAAACATCAACCAAAACCAACAAAACATCAACAAACATCAACCAAAACCAACAACACAACAAAAAACATCAACCAAAACCAACAAAAAATCAGCCAAACATCAACCAAAACCAACAAAACATCAACAAACATCAACCAAAACCAACAACACAACAAAAAACATCAACCAAAACCAACAAACAAATCAACAAACATCAACCAAAACCAACAAAAAATCAACAAACATCAACCAAAACCAACAAAAAATCAACAAACATCAACCAAAACCAAGAACGCAACAAAAAACATCAACCAAAACCAACAAACAAATCAACAAACATCAACCAAAACCAACAAAAAATCAACAAACATCAACCAAAACCAACAAAAAATCAACAAACATCAACCAAAACCAACAAACAAATCAACAAACATCAACCAAAACCAACAAAAAATCAACAAACATCAACCAAAACCAACAAAAAATCAACAAACATCAACCAAAACCAACAAAAAATCAACAAACATCAACCAAACCAACAAAAAATCAACAAACATCAACCAAAACCAACAACAAATCAACAAACATCAACCAAAACCAACAAAAAATTAACAAACATCAACCAAAACCAACAAAAAATCAACAAACATCAACCAAAACCAACAAAAAATCAACAAACATCAACCAAAACCAACAAAAAATCAACAAACATCAACCAAAACCAACAAAAAAAACATCAATCAACAAACATCAACCAAAACCAACAAAAAATCAACAAACATCAACCAAAACCAACAAACAATCAACAAACATCAACCAAAACCAACAAACAATCAACAAACATCAACCAAAACCAACAAACAATCAACAAACATCAACCAAAACCAACAAACAATCAACAAACATCAACCAAAACCAACAAACAATCAACAAACATCAACCAAAACCAACAAACAATCAACAAACATCAACCAAAACCAACCCAACAAACTTGCCAAGTGAAGACCATCGCATTCCGAGAGGCTGCGACCCGGCGCTTGCCTTCCGCCTCCGAGCTGGGGAGGGACCGGACCCGGCCCCCGCACTGCCTAGCGAGAGGGGCCCATGAGTGGCGCGCTTTCGGTTTTTTTTTCTTCATTCTTCGGTGTCTAAAAAGGGAAGCCACAAAGGAAACCACACATTGTCATTTTTCGGGGGGGGGGGGGGAGGAAAACATACATTGTTGTTTTGTTTCATTGGGGGCGGGGTCCTCGAATATATACATATAAATATATATATATATATATATTGAAAAGCCCACATCATTTTGTTTCAACACAAGTTGTACATGGCAAACCACTTTCGTACTGATTTGGGTTTGCAACACCCAACTCGTGCAGGGTACTAAAATTCTTGGGAACGCCCCGCGCGGTGATGGGGCTTGGTCCGAAGCGTCCATGCGGACCACCAGCACCCGGGTCCACACCACTGATTTGGGACACGTGGAATTTTGGACATGCAAGTGTTGCGGGTCTAGCTCGCTGTTCCACGCAGACTCCCGTGCAGCCCGCCGTGGGAGTCCAAGTTGAAAATCGCAGTTTGGAGGAAAGAAACGCGTGGCTGTTTGCTTGTGGGTGGAGCGTGTACGACGATCTCGTCGAACCGTGGATTGCGTGCATTTCGCCGCTGCAAAACTGAAAAAGAGCATCCTGAAGCTGCACGAACTCTTGACATTCGTGAGGTTTAGCGATTTGCTCGCAATGTGCGTTCTTGAAGTGGACGTTTGCTCAGGTTTAGCAGGTTTAGCAAGATGGGCCAAGCCTTTGCTGCACTCACCTTTCTCCGCCGCCACGCAAAAACAAGGTGCGTGAATTGCTCAAGCTTACTGAGTTTTAGCGCGCTGCGCGCGACAGGCCCAACTGACAGACCAAGCTGCTAGCACACTCTTGCCGAACACAAGCTGCACGAATCTAGCAAGCTGCCGAGATGAGCGGTCTGCTCGTGACATCCAACGAAGACCGAGTAGCGGAGCCCACAACTTTGAGCCGCTAGATGGTCCACGCGGCATTCTGAAGGCGCCCTGCTCTGACGGGAACAAGAACATGTTTGCGCCATGTGTCACGGAGGGGGGAACATGTGCCACGCTTGGCCAGGCTGGAGGCGTGTGACGGGAATGGTGGCAGGCTGCGGGCACGAGAGCGAGGCAATGGGATGCCGACGCCTGCCCCGGACAAACACATTTTTCTCGCGGGAGAAAGCATAGCAGCCAAAAACGCTGAAGACCCTCAAGCAAAAGTGGAACATCCAGGCTTCCAGTTCCCAAAGCTCCGTGGATCTGGAGGTGCAAGGGGAAAAATCCAATGCAAGCTATTCTGGTTTGGTGGCCGCCTTGTCAACAAATCTTCGGTGTCTTCGGTGTGTGCACCAAGCCGGTCTTTTTTTTGTGCTTCATGAAGGCATGACCTCTGCTCTTTTTTTTTTGCGTCTCACCCCCTCATTTCCCCGTGAGAAGATCAAGCACTCAGATCATCTCAAGCCCGGCCATGGAGTTGCTGAGAGCAAGAGGCACTCTCTCCCACTGGGGCGCGGAAAGGCTCCGCCAGAGAGGTTCGAAGAAGTTGCTACCGTTACTTTTTTCCGTCGGTTTTAGACACGGGGAACCGAACCCTCCCAACCCAAAAAAGTAACGGGTGAGAGGTCGGGCAGCAAAAAGGCTGGGGACCTAGACAGGGTGCTCAAAATATGTGTTCGAACTTCAGGGAACACTGACCGCCGGCGTGACGTTCCAAGGGAATCTCGGTTGCTTTCTGCTCCCCTGCTAAACATTTAACTTTTAGTGCTTTAATGGACAACTAGTTGGCAGAAAGTTAGAGTCCCAACATCCCTTGGCAAAATGCAACAACGGTTCCTTTTAGAGCCCCCAAAATGCAACAAAGGAACGGCACTTGCGTTAAAAAAAACGTCTGCCGCTTGCAGCCAGGTGTCACTAGAACCTCCGGGCCGCAGCCTCGGTGGCCGAGTTCTCGGATCGGATCGTCCCGTGTTTGGCATATAAATCCGAAGGCCCTTGATTCTCTTCCAGAACTTCTTCCCCCCCCCGTTTCTTTTCAGGTGTCTCCCCCCTCCCCGGTTCTCAGGAACCCCCCCATCCCCCCTGTTTTTCAGGTTCCATGTTGGTAACTACTTTTGTCGAGCTGTCGGGGCGCTGGCTGTGGAAGCCATGTCTTTCAAAACGGGTCATCCCCAGAACTACTTCAGGGGAATCTCTTGGTCTGGCGGGAGCTCATTGGGTTTCCCTTCCTCCAAGCAAAGGCCTGCTGCAGATTGACCTGGACCCCCAAGACAGCAACCTCACTCCATGTTGGAAGCTCCAACTGGGCGCTGCTTTGGTTTTCATGGGGAATTTCCAAATGAAAGCTCCAGGCGTGCCTTATTGTTCCATCCACGTTACCCTGAAAACCGATCGCAACATTGACACCGATCGCAACTTCGCTAGGCAAACTTTTGGGCTGGGGGCGGATTCCGGTCGGCCATGGGCTATGGCTAAGCTCCCGGGCTACGGTCCGCCGGGATCGCGTGCATGGGCAGCCCAGCCAAGATGGCCTGGTGTTTTGCTTAAGCCCCACGCACCGGGGTCGATCAAGGGCGGTTGCGGTCAATTTGGGCGGCGTCTGAAGGAATTTTCCAAAACTGCAACAAGGTGCCGTTTGTTGCAAGTCACCGATGCCCCGCTCCGAACCTTCAAAAGGACCTAGGTACTTTGTGTGGCCTTTGAAGCCTAGGGAACTAACTCAAAGGGACCCAACTCGGACCAAAAAAAAACGGAGCCTGATCTTATCCCTAAGCATAGGGTTGATGACTTGGGGAAGCCGAATCTATTTAGCCAATCTTCGGTCCATATCAGCTGGGTCCGACTGTCTGGGTCCAAGTTGCTGGCCCATTTGATTCACAGGCTTCGAACTGCTCCCTGGCCCAGAGGATTGGCCATTCACGTCCAAACGGTGCATTTACCAGGACCATGATCTTCCCAAAAAGTGAAAGTCCAGGAACTCGGGGAGTCAGACAGAGATTCGCTTCCTTGAACAAATGCAACTCAATAAGTGTGTGCAGGCAAATACCGGCCCCAACTGCGGGTCGTATTTGGGGGAGGCTCTACAAAACTTGTGGATGTTTGATTGTTTGATGGTAAAACCGCATCTTGAAGTGCAATGTCACTTGTGCCATTCCATGTTGCATTGAGAAATGGACAAAGTATCTCGAGTCCGATTCCTTGTTTGGTTGACAAGGGGGATGCCACATCCGTTGGGCTTGGAACACCATGGGCTTGGACACCTGCATGCTGAAACGAGGCAACAAACGTCATCGCCTTGGGGATCCTTGGGCGAACTCATTTTTGAGCTTCCGAGCGGTGTCATGACTGAAGTGGACCTGCAGGAAAATCAAGTTTCTCATGCTTTCAGGGGGAATCGGAGCGGACATCTGGCCATTTTGAAGGTGGTGTTGGGAAAGGCCAAGAGCCCAAAGTGACAGTGCATGCCGACTAATTTCAAATCGGCAGAACTACCATACTGGCGGCTGGGAACTGCAAACTAGTCGCTTCCTAATTACCACGAACCTCCCCCGAAATGGACATACTCCTTTGAAAACAGAATACTATCTAGCACCCTCCCACCAAATAACATGAAACCTGACAGGGGGGCCCTTTAAAAGGAAGAGGGGCTTCTTCCAGCCCCCCTGTCAGGCTCCATGTTATTTGGAACGGTATATGATAGGGCACATACCATTTTTGCCGGTCACAATCGTTCTCGCCTGAAGCTGGGCGAAATGGTCCATCGCCATCGAGCGATACCGAGCGCAAAGGTGTCTGGCAAAGTACCCTTTAAGGGTCCCTACTAGCCGCAGAACCGGCAGGGGTGGCGTTTTGTCCCAATCCACTAGGCTTGGAATGGCTTAGATGAGGTCTGGAGTGGCTTGAAGCGGGTTTGTTGAGAAGGCCTGCAGGTTGCTGTTGATACATGCCCTTGTTTTGGTGTATATCTCTATTTGCTGGTTCTATATAAATATGTGTGTTTTGGGGCTGCTTGGGGTAAGGGGAGGATTCGCTTGGGGAAACTGGAGTCGGGCGGATCAACCGAACCAGCTTGGAGCTATTGGGGCTGGCTGGCCTTCAGTCGTGCCTGGCAGTCGAGCTGCAGGTTCATGTCATAAAGCCCATGTTTCCCCCCCCGCATCCTTCAAACTTGCGAGGCACCATCATGGGTTGTGGGTCAAACGTCTGACATGTCTGACTTGTCGGCCAGGGCCTCCGGTTTTTAATCGCCCGTCTTTCAAAAACAAGCCCTGAAGGAGGACAGTCGACCGGGCGAGTCTGCACACCTTTGAGCCCAGTCAGTTGCCATGCAGCCCGGGTCGGGACCAAAATGGGGCCAGAAAAAACTGGTGCCCATCTCCCCCAGAGGCGCCTTAGACCAAAAGCAATGCGAGTATTGATGACAAGAGAGGGCAATGGGCACAGGTGTAGGTGTCCGTTTGGCAAAACAAATGGCACTGGCAAATGTAACAAACCCAATATTCAACGCCACCTACTTCTAACCAAACAAGGACACCTATGGCAATGGGTCTCCATACCGCAAACCAGCTGCCTTTGGCAAAAAAAACGCCCGGCTCGAAAGGTAAGAGGCCCCGGCAGGCAGAGGTGACGCTCTCTTCTCACCCTGAAGCCTTCAACTCCTGGTATGCAAGCATCCTGTCGGGATGTCGTTTTTGAGGATACGTGGTTTCAAAAGGGAGGCCTGAAGGGAACTCGCTTCTTTTGTCCTCTTTGTTTGGTGAGGGGGGGGTCCTTCAAACAAAGCCCAACCCTTTTGTTTCCAAGACCCACCGCCCAAAAAAAGCACACACACAAACCAAACGAAATTATCAATGTTGTCCAAAGGACGTTGCCGCGCCCGGAGAATTGACACCTTAGAACTCCAGAGATCCTGGCTTGGACGCCAGGCATATCCAGAACCCTCCCAGCGTTGCCCACAGAAAACGGGGAGTCAAGGAACAAGGTCGCAAGTTGCAACCCACAGCCCCAGCGGACTTGCTGGGTTTCTTAGTTTCTGAAACAAGCAGGGAACAAGGTTCACTCCCCCTTCTCATTTTGAGGCAGAGGCCAAACCCACTGCGGGAAGACATTTTTCTAAAAGGGGAAAGCCCAGTTCGTTGAGTGCTGAATCTAGCTCCTCCAGTAGAGAGGTTAGAATAAGGGTACCCCTTTTTCTGTAGTCTATTCAGTAGGGGAACCCTCCCAACGAAAAATAAGGGTAAAAGGGAACTACTGGAAAACCCAGGAATGAGTTGCCCTCCGCCACACGGCCCACACGGCCCTTCCGAGGTGCTGCGACTTTTCTTGCACGCCTGCTGTGAGACCTCGGTGCGGCGTGCGGCACTGACGTCACATGTGCAATGCTGTGGATGGTTGTGCTCTGTCGTTTCAATTCTAAAACAAACTACCCAACCAACTCCAAAGAACGGGCGTGGCCGGCCCCTAGTCAAAGGTTCCAAACCCCTTTCTACAGGGATTCTCCTTGTAAAGCGCAACTTGCGAAATCCGTTTCGCACCTGAGAAACCCAACGGCTTCTGATTCCATTCCCCTGAAAGTACCAATGAACAATGGTGTCAACCACGATTTCAAAGTGGTGCGAAGTGGGTTTTGTTCATCCACAGTAGCTCTTGCCTGGTGCTGCCAAACAAGCTCAAGCAGTTTGGGGCCCTGGGGCGGCCAAAATGCCACGCGGTCTTCAGTCTGAGTGCGAAGCGAGTGCAATGCTGAGGGGCCGGCTGGTCAAGCATTATGCAATTAATCGTGAGACTGCTCCTTCTCATTGTCATTCTCGTTCTCATTCTCTTCTTGCTCACCTGCAAGCCATCAATCAATCTCTGGCTTCTGCATTACATTGAACAAAACCACAAGTAGAGCTGACAGTTTGGCAAAGGCAGCTCAGCTTTGCAACATCCAACCACTTTGGCAGTCGAACACGACAGGACTTTGAAACCTAAAAAGGCCCTCCAGCGGGATCAAACAGCACTCCGCGGTCACAGACCCCCGAATGGCCTCTGTGCCCTTGCCTCCTCTTCCTACTGTCATGTTCCTCGTTGGGGTGGGGGGTGTCACACGTGCGTCAAATTCCAAACCATGCGGTCGAAAATGATGATGGCGCTTCATGGGCATGTGCCAAAACTCGACACTAGCCCTGCGCGGCAAACAAAAGGAACTTCACAGCGATCTGTGCACACCCACAGCCCCATTGAGATCAGTGATCAAACAGCTTGCCAGCCTCAAACGCGGGTCTTTGCCCACCGCTTAGCATAACCAGGCCGGCCCGCTTTTCTGGTTCGGCCGGCTGCTGGTTGGCAACGTCGGAAAAGGCGGGGGGGACCGATGCAACATTTGATTTGCGACCCCTTTTCGGCTGAAAACAGGAAATCGGCAAGCTTCTGATTCCGCATGGTGCCTCCCCTGCTCAAGGAACTTGAACCCAAACCCCGCCTTCCGCCTCTGCGGGCCTGCAAGGGTCGGGAAGAAGTGGGCCAAACTCTCAAGTGGATTAGGTTTCCTTTTCTAGGTCCTGCAGTAGAGAGGTCAGAATAAGGGTACCCTTTTTTCTGTAGTCAATTTTAGTAGGGGAACCCTCCCCGAAAAAGGATAAAAGGGCACCTAGCTGGGGGACCTAGCTTTGGTTTCTCTTTCACAAAGCAGGGCTCCAGACCATGGCTGTTGCACAGTGCCATAAGCAAGCAGTGGACGGAACGAACCCAGGGTCCCCCCCCCCAATTAAAAACAGTCGCGTATCTCTTTGGACCACCGGTGAATTCTATGAGACAAGGGATCCCCAAAATGGTGGAGAGGTCAGCGTCGACATGGGCATGGGGGCAACCTCCTGAAAATCAGGTTGTGGCCTTTTGAGAAATAAAGAGAGGTCTGACCCGCGGAGTTTGCGGGTAAAAAGTCTTCAAACCAGTTCAATCCTTTGGGGCAGTGACACCGGTTTGCCAACTCAAGAGGTGGCCCTTGAAACCCACGGCATTTGTGGGAGGGTACCTGGACGATCATCTTAGTTTGTTCTTGGGACCCGGTGTCAGATGCCAAAAGCCCCGCCGAAGCAACCAGCTTGCAGATCCAACCCCTGCGCCTGCCGAGACTCTTGTCCAGCGACACCTCGTGCCGATGTTTCGAATTGGGGGAAATGGGCAACCTGCGGGTTCTAACTGTCAGAAGCTTCGCCGCAAGTGGTTTCCCCTTGTACTCTTTACATGCCTCGACAAGAACCAGGGGTTCAAATCCCAAACCACCCATCCAAACCACCAAGAAAGGGTTACCTGATAGCAGGTCATGAGACAACACAGATCTGACCGTCCTGACTGGATATTTGTGGATCTGCACGCGACGCTTCCCACCGTTCCTTACTTAAGAACTCCTCTGGAAGTGGCAATTTCTCGCACACTCCCTGCCAAGAATAGATGAGATGCATTCAAACCTTTCAAACAGCACCACTGGTTGAAGTCGTCTCAGTCTCGGGGGCTTGGCCTTGGCTTATCCAGGGAATCGCCCGCTCTCCTTGACACAATGTTTTGACTCTTTGGCCGAGCTAGCAAGCGCTGCGTGCCCTCAGAAACCGCACTGGAAACCGGAAGCTTCCCACACGCGGAACGCGCGGAATCTCGAAGGAGAGGATGCAGAATCCCAGAAACCAGCCTTTGTAATGGAGGGCCCATTTTTATTGCCAGGTTCCGGGTAGTGTGGCCCACCGAGGCTTTGCGCCCTCTCCTTTTCCGGCACTGCGTGCGGCCGAAAGAAATATTCTGACGCCATGCCCGCCGGGGATTGAGCCGAGCTAAAGCCAACAGGCAACTGAAGCACCAGGCTGCAACCGAATGCGACTGACACATAAATTGCCTCTGTGAGCAGGGGAAAACCACGGTCAAATTCAACATGACATGAGTCCAAGGTCCCAACGTGCAACCTGAAGTGTCTCAGCTCCAAATTTGATGGAAGAAAGCGGGCTTTGGGGCCAAATGGCTCTATGGACAGCTCGCTAAACCATGTGGCTGCGAGATGGATTTGGCGCCGCCACCTCAGTCTTCTCCTCACAAGGGTGGGCCAAAACCGAGCCAAGCGGCTTGGGTGAAGTCGCGAATCAAATCTGCCATTTCATCCCCACCCCTATGCCACACTCGTTTTTCTCTACGATCTCAAGGTCCACAACATACCAGCGAAGATGTGAGGGATGTCTTCGGACGCCCCATGGAGTAATTGTTTGAGAGGCACCCAACTTGGGTGTTTCTTTTTCTTAGTGCACCTCTTTCCTTTTCACCTTGGTTCAAACCAAAAGGGTCCTCGCCATGCCATGTGTGAACGGGACGCTGCCACGGCTTCCCCAGACCCGGTGTCTAAGGTGTCGTTTTGTTTGAGAAAGAATTTGAGTGAGGAAGGGCTGGGATATGTTCACCCAGCATAATTTTGGTGACCCGCACCATTTTGAACAGTACATAATTTGGTCAGTGTACCCAACTCGCCACTGGCCTTGAATACACTACGGTGGGCGTGAATCAATACTGATTACGGCCCATGGTTCATGTTGGGGGGTTGTCTCTTTTGGACATATTGATTGTTTGATTTTATTCAAGGGACACCGAAAGGAAACCAACCGTATATATATATATATATACATATCTATTCGCTTTCCACCAAATCAGCGCAGGTCCCAGAACAACCGAAAACGGAGGGGCTCCCCCCCCGAAGCCCAAAGACCCAGACGCAAAGAACCTTCAAAACACAAAGACCCCAAGACACCAAGTTTATCCCACTGAATCCCCTCGGCACCCTTTCCAACCACCCCAGAAGCAATCCAACCCTCTGGAACATTCCGAGTCCGGAACTTCTGTGGGCCAAGACCGCTAGCTGTCAGGGCACAACGGCGGTGTAAAACACCACCTGACTTTTGTTTCCACAGTTCTTGGGGACGACATGTGCATGCTTCGCAAGTTTCGTCGAGTTTCTCCCCAAAGCCCCCAGTCATTGGAAAAAAAACGTGCTACGTTTTTTTTTGGGGGGGCACTTGAGCTTGAAGGGACGCCCGGTCTGAGAACCAAACACAACTCCTGGGAAGCAAACGCCGACATCGTTTCCCTCGCCTAAGTCGTCAGCCCGGCGCACGACGCCCTGCCGCAGGAATTGTGCCCTCAGAGCGGTCACCATGCTTTTCCGCGCCAGGGCAGGCATGTCAAAACCAGCCCACGCATGATCAAGGATCCTTGCTTGGGAGTTCTGTATATTGATGCGTGAGCGTGCGTGTGTCTTGGTGTGTGTGTGTGCTGTGTGTGTGTGTGTTGTGTCGTGTTGGGGTGTGTGTGTGTGTGTGTGTGTGTGTGTGTTGGTGTGTGTTGGTGTGTGTTGGTGTGTGTTGGTGTGTGTTGGTGTGTGTTGGTGTGTGTTGGTGTGTGCGGGTGCGGGTGCGGGTCGGGTGCGGGTGCGGGTGCGGGTGCGTGGTGTGGGTGTGTGTGTGTGAGGGTGTGTGGGTGTGTGGGTGTGTGTGGGTGTGTGGGTGTGTGGGTGTGTGTGCGTGTGCGTGTGCTGTGCGTGTGCGTGTGCGTGTGCGTGTGCGTGGGCGTTCGCGTGCGCGCGCGTGCGTGGGTGGGTGGGTGGGTGTGTGTGTGTGTGTGTGCCTGCCTGCCTGCCTGCGTGGGTGGGTGGATGTGTGTGAGTAAGTGAGTGAGTGAGTGAGTGAGTGAGTGAGTGAGTGAGTGAGTGAGTGAGTGAGTGAGTGAGTGAGTGAGCGAGTGACTGAGTGAGTGAGTGAGTGGGTGGGTGGGTGAGTGGGTGAGTGAGTGAGTGAGTGAGTGAGTGAGTGTGTGTGTGTGTGTGTGTGTGTGTGCGTGTTTGTGTGTGTGTTTGTGTTTGTGTTTGTGTTTAGGTTTGTGTTTGTGTGTTTGTTCGCGTTTGTGTCTGTGTGTGTCTCTGTGTGTGTCATTGTGAGTCTTTGTGTGTGCGTATTTTGCGCTTGTGTTTTTTGTGTGAAGTTCCACCTCCTGCAGCACGGGGCCCGTGCGCTTATGCGCGTGAAGCAGGGGCGCAGCAAAGATCTTTTTGCCTTCCCGACCAAGGACTTGGTCAATGGGGTTTGAGGGGCCATCCCAGTCAATCACGCAGACACCCCTCCCCTTTACCCCGAAGCCGCAGGCGCGCAAATATCTTCTGAGACAGCAAAAGCAAGATTCTCACAAGGGCGGGAGGGAGCGTGCCCAAATGGCAATCGCCTCTCTGCAACACACCCAGAATCACAAAGCAAGCTCCAACAGCTGCAGGAACCGAGAGTAAACGGGGGGGCGCTGATGCGATTGCCTTTTGCGGCTGACGCCGCAACGGGCCGGAGCGTTTGACCGTTTGAGGTTTGATATTCCCTCACGCTCCTTAAGGCTTTCCATGGTGTGTTTCGGGCGGGCTGCCTGTCATAGTGCGCACTCCCAGCAGCCCGACTGCCAGATGTTTGCGCCGTCTGATTCATGCTGAAGGATTGACAAGCCACTGGCTGGCAGAATGGGCAGGAAGGCCTATCGCTGTTCACTGGAGCAATTGCTTCAATTGCTCGGATGTCTGGTGTGAGAATTTGATATGGAGGTCTGATTTGGAAGCTTGATTGGTTAAGGGCAAGCTTGGAGTTGAGGCGTGCCCTCACATGAATGAAACCACCGCAGCTTCCAGCTCGACTGGGCGCGTGTAATGTTGACCCCGTATTAATAATCCCCCCCTATTAGTCCGGTCCGGGTGACCCCCCCCAATACTAAACAATTCATATCTCAGAAAACCACCTCCAAATAAAAAATGATACAAAAAACAATTAAACCGGTCCCCCCCAGATGGCTGCTGCCATCTCATTTTCTCCACTGCTTCTTGAGCTCCTTACAATGTAAACTGTTTTTTGGTGCTAGCTGATGCTGCTGATGTTGAATATTGTGAACTCATGCTGCTTGCCATGCTTTCTCTGAATGGTGTCCTGAAAAGGTGCTTTGGCTCAAATGGGCTCATGCTTTCTTCTCATACCTTTCTCTGCATGCTGCTGCCTTGCTCTCTCATCTCCACCTCTTACTCTCATCTTGAAGCTTGGTGGATACTTTTGGGCCTGCCCAAGCCACAAAACAAAAGGTGTTCTGAGACAGTCGATTTCTTATTAAATTCTTTATTAAAATAATCAAGTTTAGAAGGTTTAACACCCCAAATTAATAATCCCCCCTAATTAGTGCGGTCGATCGGCCCCCCCCCCAAAAAAGGAAGCTCCAGCAATACTAAATCAAATGGAAACTCAATTCCAGATCTCAAAAGGAAGCTCCAGCAATACTAAATCAAATGGAAACTCAATTCCAGATCTCAAAAGGAAGCTCCAGCAATACTAAAGCAACTGGAAACACAACTCCAGATTATTTAGGGGGGTGGCAAAAAACCTTCCAACATTTTGCCCCCCAAAACCTTCCCGACCTGAGGGGGGGGGGGGTTACATACTAATACGGGGTCAACATTAACTTGTGGCCGACCTTGCTTGCAGTCACGGACGCGCAGTGCGTCTTCAACATTTTTTCCAGGGACACCAGTGCACAAGCTGGCGGTGCCGCAAGTAGCACCCCCAGCTCGTTCCGATTCGATCTGGTAATTCAAGCCTCCGACACTCACAGATTCCCGGCTGTCAACTTGCAAGGCCTGACTTTGTCAAGTAAGAAAGGTCCCAGTTTCAATCTCTGCAGTGACCGGGTATGTCTTACATCAATCTGCAAGACCTTATGTGCAGGTCATGCCCAGAAACCGCGAAGTAGCGTGTGCGTTAAGCAATCAGGTGTCCAGGACACTTGACCTTCCGCTAGCTCGCATTGAGCGGCAACTTTTTGAAGATGTCCCGCAGAAGAACATGCGTCAGTTGCAGGTAGAGGTTGAAGGAATCCGTGCAGGCAGTTACCGCCAGATCTTTTGAGGCCTTTCACGGCTTATAAGATTCTTGTGTGGCAAATTTTGACCAATTCATTGCTGAAGTTCCCCATGCCAGCGATACAGGAGGGAATTCTCTCGCAAACAGTGCCGTTTATGTTTTCCCGCCGGTGGATATTTCACATCCCTGCTTTTGTAGGCAGCCCCATGTTGCCACCTCCGGCCGGTACATGACTTGAGTGAGAAGAATCGAGCAGATGCAACAGGCCAAGATTGTCAAGGCGGAAATGGCCTTGTGATAGTGACTGTTGTACTTCCGATGTTGGTTTGAGCACTGAGAAGGAAGACCGCTTATCGGAACTCAATTTCATTGCCAAATGGCAGCCGCCATTGAATTATCCATTTTGCTCCAAGTCACAGCGTCCGTCGCATACAGGCAGTTGGTAGGCACACAGAGAGTGGTCTCAACAAGCGGCAACCAGCGGGTTTCGCAGAGCCTTCCCTTCGCCATTTTCGGGTGTCGGCCAGGTTTGTGGCTCTGTGGCAAAATCCCAAACCCTGATAGAACTTGGCCAGAACAACCGGGGGCGAGAACCGAGCAGCATCTTCGACGAGAGGTGCAGCCAACTCATTTGTTGGCTCTTTTCAAGATGGCCCGCAACCTTGAGGAACCAGGCATTGCCAAAACCATGACCAGGCGCATGATGGTTTTACCACCTAGAAATTTGTCCCGTCGCATTTAGGCTTGGCGTACGAGAGGTTCAGGACCCACTTGCAGCTGTGTGTGGCAAGCATTTTGACTGCCAATGCAAGCAGAATACCACCACCGCATGTGCCATCTCGGTCCGCTATTCTCACATCCCGTTCAAAGCTGAGGGACAACTTACACTCCCGCACGCAATGGAATTTTGTATTTGCTGATCAGGCTCACGCTGGTATTTCCTGTCAGCGCGAGGCTCTCAAGAGGGCCCGCCCAGAATACAAGAACTTGCCCGCGGTGGGGCGAACATTTCTGTCGCACAGTGCGGCCACGCAAGTATACCCCTCCAAGGGGGGGTTTGTGGAATCAGCCCAAGATTCATTGCAAAAATTGGCGAAGCACCACCGCATTGACGTTGGCGCTTCCTCTTTGCACGACTTTTTGCCACAAGAGTGGCGCAAGCATTTGCAGAACGTGCCGAGCCACGCAGTAACCTGGGATTGCGTTGCTTCTTTACGGCGTAAACTGGAACCAATGGCTGTCCACTGCCGGAGAGGTTGATGGCTTGTTGCCCTCAACTTTACTTGCTGGTCTTGAATAGAACGCTTTTGGATTTCCAGCAAGTGGGAATCCAGGAGCCAAAGTCTCAAGCTTTGATAAAGCAAAGGATCCCTGCACGGTTGCTGAATTGTTCTCCTAAGCATTCGGCTTGCAAGCCCCACTGTTTACAAAAAGACGATTGGCAAAAGGAGCTCGAAGCGTGCGCCATCATCGTAGTCCGGGTTTCGGCCGTTGCGCTCCCTCACAATGCTGCGAATTGGCAGCAAATTCGCACGTTTCTTCTCAAACACGGACTTTGAACAAATGGATGCTCATGGTCCACGCAGATTTAGTGGGGTTCTTTAGTAGCTTGCCTCAGCAAGCCTGGCAGGAGGCAGTGCAATGTTACCTTGCGTGGACGAAGCATGGATACCACTGCTTCTATTGACTGTACGGGAGTTTTGTCCTGGTTCTGGGGTGCAATCATTTTCAAGCAAGTGCGAGGTGCAACTATTGGCAGCCAACTTCCCCTGCTTTATGCGCCTTATCCATGGCTCATCGCGAGCAGTGGTGGCGCGAAGGGGTCGGGCAACACCTTGCACCTCACAAGTTTGCCTGGTGCGGGACAAGGTACGTCGACAATCGCTTGCTTTTCCTCTACGGCACCATTGCCAACGCACCACCGATGCGATTTCTTAGACGTCAATATTTCTACATCGGACCCGTTTTGCTGGAAGCTGTTAACGATTTACACTATCTGGGGCACAACATTTTCTCAAGCAGCGCCACGTTCGACTTATTGTGTACAGCCCGGTGAGAAATGGCAGATCTGTGGTTCTTGGCCAACGTGCCTTGACTCGCAGGTACACCTTGCCCAAGGAGTGTACCAGTGTACCAAGCCCGACATTGATACTTTGGTGCAATTCTATGCCCAACATGGCTACCCAGAGTTGCGTCTGAGAATTGCTGTAAATACGGCTGCTTTTTTGTGCGTGAAGATTCCCTGCCAGTGAAGCCGCCCCGTTGGCAAGCGAAGCTTCCACCTCCTGCAACACGGGGCCCGGGCGCTTGTGCGTGTTTCTCGAAGACACCCCCGCTTGCGGGCCCAAACAAAGGTCCCCTTTTTGCCTTCCTGCCCGAGGGCTTGATCAATAGAGTTTGAGAGGCCATCCCAGTCTGAGCGTTTGACCGCTTGAGGTTTGATTTTCCCTCACACTCCTTGCGTGGACTTTCCATAGTGTGTGTGTGTGTGTACGTGTGTGTGTGTGTGTGCGCTTTTGCATGCGCTGGCTAGCTTCGGTGGTTTGGGCTGATGGTTAGCTCGCAGGGCATCTTCCCAGCTTGGACCGGAAGTGGGGGCCAAGCCCCTAAACCAATCCACGCCACCAAAAAAGGACTCCAACTAATGACTTTCTGGCCGCCAAGCCTGCTGTTGGCTCGCCTTTCTTTGTTTTGGTACCTTCTGGCTAACATGGAACCCACCAGAGGGGTCATTTTAGAGTCCAAAGGAAACTTGCCTCCCAGGACCCCCTGCTGAGAGGGTAAAACCGGCAGCTTGAAGCAACCCACAATTCTTTGAGGCAGGTGGCAATAACTCGCTGGGCACTCGCATAACGCGCACCTCAAAGCATTGCAGCTTGGCACTGAGTACCCTAACTGGACGGGGGTCGATCCCTAATTCTCCCTCCTGTCTGGAGAAACCAGTGTTCCCGGCAATGCGTGCTTTCCTTATAAGATATCAAACAAAACAGTGGTTTGATTTGAAACACGGCGCTGGGCACACCACCCTCTCTCGTGCGTAGGACACCATCAACTAAGATTCGGGTCAAGATTTGATTTGGAGCAACCCAGTGATCTGAGTTGACTGGTGTGTCAACTTGTTGGTCGACTGAGATATAAAAGAGCCAATGCCCTGACCCCCCCCAATGCCCTCAACCCGGGGCCCTCCAATAGAGAACCCTGACCCCGCAAGGGGCCCTGAAAGCAACTCTTTTTTGTCGGAGCCAAAACTAGGTCCTTCAGTAAAGAGGTTAGACTAAGGGTACCCTTTTTTTCTGCACTCTATTTTACTAGGGGAACCCCTCCCCCTTCAAAAAAGTTGGTAAAAAAAGGCACCTAGCTGGGGGACCCAGACAAACAGTCGAATCGGACCCTTCGGGCATGCAAACTCGCAACATTTCATCGGATACCCCCCCCCCTGGTTTCCTCCAAAAGGTCGTGGGTGTCCTCGCCAGTAGCTAGTGGTCGGAACCTACATGTGACTCAGCTGTCCAATGTATGTTTCCAACCTTCTGAGAAAAATCGAGCGTGTTGGCGATCTGTGTCGCTAAACTGCTTTGCGCTGTTGCGCCGCTGCGCTGCTCGCTGCTGCGCTGATGACTTTGCGCCGCTCTGCTGTTGCGCTGCTGCGCTGCTTTTCTGCTGCACCGCTGCGCTGTTGCGCCGCTGAAGCCGCTTCCGTTGACGTGCGCCGCTGCGCCGTTGAGCTGCTGCGCCGTTCCGCTGTTGCGCCTTTGCGTCGCTGCACCGCTGCGCCGTTGCGCCGCTGAGCCGCTGCGCCGTCGCGCCGCTGCGCCGTTCGCGGTTGCGCTCTTGCGCCGTCGCGATGCTGCGCCGTTGCGCCGCTGCGCCCTTGCGCTGCTGCGCCCTTGCGCCGCTGCACCGCTGCGCCGTTGAGCCGTTGCGCTGTTGCGCCGCTGCGCCGTTGCGCCGCTGCGCCGTTGCGCCGCTGCGCTGTTGCGCCGTTGCGCGTTTGCACCGCTGCGCTGTTACGCCGTTGCGCGGCTGCGCCGCTGCACCGCTGCGGCCGGTGCGCTGTTGCGCCGTTTGGCTGTTGCGCCATTGCGCTGTTACGCTGTCGCGCCTTGGCGCATTTGCGCCATTGCGCTGTTACGCCGTTGCGCTCGCTGCACTGCTGCGCTCCACCGTTGCGCTGCCGCGCCGTTCTGCTGTTGCACCACTGCGCTGTTGCGCTGCTGCGCCGTTGCGCCGTTCCGATGTTGCGATTATCCTACCATATCCTGCCGTATGCTGTCCAATCCTGTCTTATCCTACCTTCTCCCATCTTCTCCTATCGTATCCTATCTTATTCCATGTGTCTATCTATCTATCTAGATAGCTATCTATCGAGATATCATATCTGTCCTATCTTTCCTGTCTGTCCTTTTTGTCTTGTCGTATCAAGCCTATCTATGTTGTCCATATTACCTATCTGGTCTATCTGTTGTGTCTTATCTGCCTTGTCTATCATATCGATCATATCTATACTACCTACCTTATCTACCTTACCTACCAAATCTTATCTTATTATACATTATCCTGTGTTATCCTGTCTTTCCTATCGTATCCTGTATTGTCCTATCTTATCCTATATTATCCTGTAATATCCGATCTTGTCCTATATATCCCACGTTGGCCTATCTTGCCGTGTCTTATCCTATCTGAGCCTATCGTATCCTTTGTATACATCGAATTATCTATCTATAATACATCTATCTATACATCTATGTATCAGTCAATCCTGTCTTGCCCCATCTTATCCTATCTTACCCGACCTTACCCTATCTCATCCTACCTTACCCAAAATCATCCTATATTATCCTATCTTATCCCGTCTTCTCCTCTCTTATTCTATCTTATCCCATGTTATCCTGTCTTATCATGTCTTATTCTGCATGTCCCTATCTTAACCTATCTCATCCTATGTGCCTATCTATCAATCTACCAGCCTACCCAGCTATCCTATCTATCCTATTGTCCCTATCTATCTCATCGTATATGCAAGTCTCATCGCTCTTATCTATCATATCATAACTACCTTATCGACATTACCTACCTTGTCTTGTCTCATCATATGTTATCGTGTCTTACCCTATCTTAAGTTGTCTTTCCTGCTTTATCCTATCTTATCCCATCGCAGCTCTTACCCCATATTTTCCTACCTTATCCTGCCTTACCCTATCTTGACATATCTTACCTTATCTTACCCCATCTTTTCCTTTGTATCTATCAATCTATCTTCCTTCTCTATCCTGTCTCCCCTGTGTGTCCCATCTTTCCTATCTATCTCATCGCGTGTAGCTTATAAATCGTTTTTATCCTACCTATCTGAACTATCTTATCTCTTACCTGCCTGATCTATCTTGTCTATCATGTCTATCCTCTTTATCTTCTCTACCTTGTCTACCTTACCTACCTTTACATTATCCTGTCTTGGCCTACCTTAACCTATCTTATATTACCGTATGCTATCTTACCCTGCCTTATCCCATCTTGTCCTACCTTACCCCATGTTAGCCTATCTTGCCGTGCCTTATCCTATCTTATCTGACCGTAGCCCATCTTATCCTATGTGTCTATCTGTTTATCTATCATCTTTCTATCCTATCTATCTGATTTTCTCCTAACTACCATATCTACCGTATCTTTCCTGCTTGTCCTCTTTATCTCATCGCGTCTATCTTATCTATATGTCCTGTCTTATCTACCTGATCTACCTTACATTGCTTATCTACCTTGTCTATCATATCTATCATATATATATGCTATCTACCTTATCTATCCTAGCTGCCTTATCTGATCTTATCACAATTTCTCCTGCCTTATCTTACCTGAGCCTATCTTATCCTGTATTTTCCCGTCGTATCCTATCTTATCATGTCTGATCCCATCTTATCCTGTCTTCTCCCACGTTGGCCTATCTTACCGTGTCCTATCCTATCTTGCCCTATGTACCTATCGATATATCTATGTTATCTCTGAGACTGCTGGGGCTCAAAACACAAGTGATTGAAACATATTATTAACAATAAAAACGCAGCGAACACCTGCGAAAACCACGAAAACGCGAACAGCGCGAAAGCCCCCAAAACCGCCAAAACGCGAAAACCGCGAAAACCACGAAAACCGCGAAAACCACGAAAACCGCGAAAACCGTGAAAACGCGAACACCGCGAAAACGCGAAAACCGCACAAACATCGATTTTCTGGGTTCTTTGGGCTTTCTCGGTTTTCTAGGTGTTTTCACGGCTTTCTCGGTTTTATCGGTTTTCTCTGTTTTTCAGTTTTCTTGGTTTTCTCGGTTTTCCGGCTTTCTCGCGCAAATCCGGTTAGCTCCGCGTCGCTCAAAACGATTGCTTAGCAAGCTTGGCTGCCATCAGGTCATCGCCTTCAAGCCAAGGAGGCAACCTACCTTTCTTTAAAGTGAGGTTCGCCCTCATAAACATGACATTTGGGCTGCTCATGCTATCTGAAGTACTCGGGAGTCAGTTAGCGATCGGGAACTCAGCTCTTAAAACGACCAAACTCGCTCTAGGAGAAACGGCCAATCGAGCGAAGCAACGGAGCAACGGAGCGGGGCAACGCAGCGCAGCAACGGAGCAACAGAGCCAGGCAGATCCGCGCAACAACGGGCCAACGGAGCAGAGCAACGGAGCAACGGAGCAGAACAGCTTTGCGGAACAGCGGGGGAACGGAGCGGAGCAACGGAGCAACGGAGCAACGGACCGGAGCAACGGAGCGGAGCAACGGAGCAACGGAGCGAAACAGCTTTGCGCCACCACGGGGGAACGGAGCAACGGAGCAACGGAGCAACAGAGCGGAGCAACGGAGCGAAACAGCTTTGCGCCACCACGGGGGAACGGAGCGGAGCAACGGAGCAACAGAGCGGAGCAACGGAGCGGAGCAACGGAGCAACGGAGCGAAACAGCTTTGCGGCGCAACGGGGGAACGGAGCGGAGCAACGGAGCAACGGAGCGAAACAGCTTTGCGGAACAACGGGGGAACGGAGCGGAGCAACGGAGCAACGGAGCGAAACAGCTTTGCGGAACAACGGGGGAACGGAGCGGAGCAACGGAGCAACGGAGCGAAACAGCTTTGCGGAACAACAGGGGAACGGAGCGGAGCAACGGAGCAACGGAGCGAAGCAGGTTTGCACGACACGCTTTGCCAACGCTCTGGAAAAATCAAGACGCAGTTGCCTTGCGTCCTCATAGAACAAGAACCGATTCTTTTTGGGGCAAAGCAAATTTTGACCCTCCCAACAAACATGGACGAGCACAGGGTCCCTTTCCGAGGGGACCGCATGATTCCAAAAGAGATCCCTGTTTTGGCTCGAAATACACCCTGCGTGCTGACAGGCAGCTTGCCCATCTGGGCCCATCATGCGCACGCCCACCAAAGACTCTTGGCCGGGCTCCTCCCCTGGCACTTCCACACACTAAAGCCAAATCTACCTTGCGCAATTTTGCGCGGTCTTGGACAGGGTGTGTTCTCTCAAAAGCCCAGTGGCCATGGGGAAAAGGGCATCCGTTCTTGGTTGGTTGACTTTAGAGGGGAACCCTTCCCCCCAAAAAGGGGGGGGAAAGGGCGCCACTGGGCAACTGGGTTCTTGAAACTGGGGGCTCGGTCTTTTCGCTTGGTCAGGTCAAACTTTGCGACACACCTCTGGCCCAAAAAAAACGGGCTTTCGCGCGCGCGCGCGGGTCCAAATTCTGGCCGAAGTGCTCTCTTCTTCTGCTTCCGCAGCTCGGAAGTCCTGAGGTGCCGGATGGGGTTGGAAGGAGCCTGTACGGCTTCCCAGCCCCCTATTCTCTTGGTCAGCGGGCGGTCCCGACAAGTTTTACCCTCATGTTTCTGATGCGTGGACCATCTGCTCCGAGCTCCGAGTTATCCTTCTTGTTGCGAATCGCAAGGGGGTTGCGGGCTTCTGGTATAAAAAAGGGGACGAGTGCTGAACGTCCAAGTTGCAAATTCACTACGGCCAAATACACCATCTCAAATGCATCTCAGGTCCGAATCCGTCGCATGCTTTTCAACTGAGAATGACATACCTCCACTGGGCTGCCCTCAGTTCCCCTGCTAAAAGTGACTAACTTTTAGTGGGTTAACTGGAAAACCAACCACTAACCACAAGGCTAAAAGGCGAAGGAACCGGATGGCTGGTTCCGAGCCACGTCCAAAGGAAGAAGCTTGGAGGCTTCTCCAATGGAGTTCTCCAGGACCTGCCACCGAGCCTCCAGTTCTCGAATTCACCTCCCAACCTGTTGGACCCTCCGAGGGGAAGGAGGAACGAACGGACCAAATTTGTTCAATGACCGAATCTGCCACACGGGTCACACTTGGCGATCTGTTTCCTTTTTAGCCTTTTCCCATTCATAGATTCCCGAATTTTCCGAGGTTCTCCGGGAAACTTTCGGAGAGAAGGCGCCCAGCAGCCCTAAACAACTTGCGATCGGTGCGATAGGTGGGATGAACCCAGCTAGATGGCCAAGTTGCTGCCTTTTTCAGTCACTCTTACTGGTTTTTTGGGGTAAAGTGGATGGAAACAAGCAATCGCAACTGGCGAATTAGGCAGGACCCCCCCTCATAGGGATCATTCCAATTCTCCTTCCCTGCATCTGGCTGTCCAGGTAAATGGAAACAAAGACCAAACCCTGTGTAACCCTAGCTCTTAAATTTTGAGCCACACCCATCCCTCGCACCCGCCAACGCAAAACTCCTCACAACCATAGGTGTCCTGTTATGTGACATAGATGGCTCTGGTAGATGATTCAACCACCAGGTAAACCAGGAATCGCCATCCGTTTTTCTTGCAAAGCAACCAAAAAAGGACACCTACCCTCCACTAACATAGCACCCGTGGCAGGGTACCTGGCCAAACCAAAACGGACACCCATGCTCCCCACGGCTCCGCCCGGCCAGGAAGAGCCGAGCGCAAGACCCGAGCGTCCTTCAGGTCCTCCGTGTCCGCTCCCAGGGCAAAGGTCCAGAGATCGCTGAAGTGCGGGCCTGGCTCGCTGGACTCGGAGCCCGACTTCTCGAACTCACTTGGGGCTTCCTCTCGGTGTTCCTTTTTAAAACCCACAGAGGGGTACCATATCCACGACAGACCCATTCGGGTATGGGTCAAAATTAAGCCAGGAATTCGACCACAGGTTTTAGTCTGACCAGGGTGCCATTTTGGATACTGTAACTATTTTGGACCCACAGCCACTTGCCCAAACGACCTGGAAATAAAAGGCTTTACGCTTTTACAGGTTCCTTTTTCCTAACTTTTGCCCCCAGGACCTGATTTCCCGAACATACTTCCAATTCCCCTAAAGGTGACATTTTGGGACCTTTACTAAAAATGGACCGAGTCAGGGAAACCCTTCGGAAATCAACAGGTTCAAAGGTCGGCTTTGGGCAAGTGAGCTAAAGCCAGGGGTTTGCAGAACCACACATCGAGACCACCGACTGAGGGTATCCTCGCAATGACACAGGGCACACGCCATGTGCGTTGCTCCCCGACTTCGCTGGCTCAAGCCCTGTGGCTTTCACTCGGTCCGGATGCATCTCAGCCACGTCAGGGCATGGGGCAGTGCGAATGGAAAAACCTCTGCAAGTATGCAAGTAATCGCAGCTTTTGATTCTAGACCTGGAACACCAGAAGGGTGGGGGGACCCCTTGATGAATCAAAAGCGGCGATTAAGGAGAACCTGAGGCATTCGAAAGCGGGCTGCGCTGCCAATGTGCCCAGCCTAACGACAAACCCGCTGCAACTGTTCAACGGTAAATCCTGGAAGATCCCAGTGGGTTCCACACTGTTTCTTAGCCCCCTAAAGATTTCATCACTTGCGCTCGCCGGAGAACAAAGTTCTCGAACCAGACAACGCAAAAGGCCTTGCCGGCCCCTTGCCCAAAAAAACAATAATCGTACAAGCAACCGCCCGGTGCGGTAAACAAAACAACAACAAGAAGAACAGATACAAATCTCTCAAACCCCTGGAAGGAACAAAGAAGCAAAAACACCAAGAAGTGCGAACACGTTTTTTTTTTTTTTTTGTATTTTTCCCCCTCCCGCGCGTCGAACCACAAATCGCTGCGGCGAATCGTTCGGTTTCGCCCCTCCGTCCGCCTGTCTCCCAGCCACCGAAGATCACCAGCAAGGGCGCGTAGGGCGCGAGGCAGGCGGCGCCGTGCATCTTCCGGGCCACGGGTACCGGGAGATCCGCACCTGACGTGCTCGACGGGAAGTCGAAGCTCGGTGGCGACATCTGCTCTGGTAAAAGGGCCTAGCTTCTAGCGGTCTAATACGGAAAACCCAGTCGTTGGCAAAAAGTTGAAGTCCTAGTATCCAAGCAAAATGCACCAAAGGAAGCCCTGGGGCCGTGAGAACCAAGGGTAGTTATCCTCGCTGGAGTGGATTGCCTGAGAAAAAGGATTAGCAAACTTTTGGTATTTTGAGTGGATTGGCAAAAAAACAAGCTTTATAATTATTTACCACTAGAATGGTCTTCCCAAAAGTAAGTCCAGTACCCCCCCAACAATCATGGAAGCTGATGGGAAGCTGTCGGAAGACTACTTTCCTTTCGTTGGCAGAAGACCACTCTTGCAGTCGAACTGGAAGTGCTTTTGCCAGTTAGTCACAGTGCCCTTGATCCATGGTTAGCACACGCCTAAGCTACGGGCCAAGCGACATAGTACGGAAGACACTTTATATATTCCAAGCATGCCAGCCAAAAGCCAACATTAGAGAACCAACCTCACTTTACCCCCATTTGGTGGTGTGATTTGGTGGTTTGGACATTTAGCGGGTACCTTGCCCATTCGTTTTCGAAAAGGAACTGGGGTTCACACCTACAAACCATCAATGCAAACAACACATGAAGGTTGACCTGCCAACCGCATTTTTCCCACGTTGCCGCAAGAAAACGTAAATTTCAACCTCTTGGGATGGGAGTCTTGAAGGGAATAGCCCAACCCAAAGGACGCCTCTCCTTGTCCGGGCCTTCAGAAAAGGGTTTCGCAGTGAACTCATCACAGACTTGGACCCATAGACATGGTCATGGAAAGTTTGGATGTTCAACCGCCCCTGCACCTTGCCAACAAGCATGGAAGTGTTGAGAAAGAGAGCTGGATGATCAAATCGCTGTGTGTCAAAAAGGGGGGGACCCGCAAACATGTGGCTTTCCAAGTCTGGCTCCCTGTGATCCAACTTGAAAAAGGTACCCTGCCAAATTGTGAGCAGCTGCGAGCCAAGCGGCCATCATCCTCTAGCCTGATCAGCCAGGCTCGCTCTTTGTGTGGAAATGAGAAGGGAGCCACACGTCTGGATGCGAATGAGGCAAACCAGCTATCAACTGGTGTTGAATTAATCCCGCACAGTAGGCTCACTTCCTGCAAAAACGGAAGACAAACCACGCCCAAACTTCTTGTCTGCCATTAAAACGGTCCAAACCCAAGAAAGTGGCTGAAGTCCATGCACTTTCAGGCATAGGTGCCCTTTTCGTAAAGTAGGTGGCCCTGGGAAACAAAATGAAACCCACCTAAACCAGTGGGACCCATCCCTTTCTAGCCAAACTAACCCAAAAAGGACACCCATGCTTTCAGGAAGTGAATAGGGGAATTCCAGCTGACAACTCATCCAGCCACCCAGTCCACATCCAGCGATCCGCCTGTCAGGCACTGTGCGCAAAGGCACCAGGCCCTGGACGTCCCCGCGCAGGGCGCGGCGGATGACCTGCTCCGCGTCCAGCACGCAGACCTGGCGCGAGAATCGATCCGGTGAGTTTTCAAGGATCCAACAATCGAAACGCCGGTTCTTGTTGTTTCTTTTTCTTTAACACGAAAATGTCGGCTTCCCAATCAGCATCAAGTTCAAGAACTGATCCCAAAATGAGGGGCTCCCCCAATTTTTGACACATAGTGGTTGGCGCAAACAAAGGGGATAAAAAATAGTGCGCGCATTTGGGGTCAGGGGGTCAAACGCGCAGTGGGATTCTGGTCAAACGCGCGTAGGAGTGAATGGTGCGGAGGGTGTGGGGGGGCGCCCCGCGAAGCAACATGCACCATCAAGCAACAAGGACGCGGAAGGCTCCTCCTCCTTCTCCTCCTCCTCCTCCTTTCGAACCCTCGGTATGTCAGTCAAAGCACCAAAAAAACCTTTCCAACAAAACTGTCCAAAAGAACGTACGGAGCCAATAAAGAGCTCAGCGATTCCATCGTTTTTGCAATTCAGCTCTTGTTTTCTGCGACAGTCTCAGGGATACATCACAAAACCACGTCAGCCAAGTTCCCCGTTTGGCTGTTTGGCTACCCTCTTGAGCCAAATGCTCATGAAACAACCGTCCCCTACTTGTGAATTAAGCACGCGTCCACCCCCTTCCTTCGTCCATCCAAACCGGCCCCTGCGACCCGCCCTCGCCGCGTTTTCCCCCGCCGCCTTTTCCCCGCCCCCCTCGGCCTGGCGGCTGGGCCGCCGGCCGCCCCCCACCAGCAGCAGCTGACCCAGCGCCCGGCAGGCCGTGTGGTGCCGGCCCGGCGTGAGGTTCCCGGAGCTCTGGAGCCTCGGGGTTTAGGTTTCGTTTCCCATGGAGCTTGTTTTTTTTTTTTTTTTTTTTGGGGGGGGGGGGGGGGGGGGCGGTTTGCCCCAAGAAAACCCCCCAAAAAAAGAGCTTTGTTTTTTTGGGGGGGGCTTTCCCAAGAAAAAACCAAAAAACAGAGCGCGACACGTGGATTGAATTCGTCTTTCTGTTCTGATTTTGTTTTGGAGGGGGGGGAGGGTACCATTTGGGTTGGTATCAAAAGCTGCCGAAAGAAGCAACAGCATTTCCAGGCCCCCCGATTCTGACATACCAATTTGCCTGTCTGTGATACTACAGTGGCCCCATTATCATTAAGTTTTGTCCCCCCCCACATTTGTCTCTCTCTCTCTCTATATATATATATATGTTGTTTTTCACACAAGGTGGTTTTGTTTGGTCATTGATTAAACCACCCAAGCTGGCTCCTTCCTGTCAGTTTTCAAGAAACGGTTGAGGATTGGGCAAGGGTGGTTTGGCTGCCGTGTGCTGAAAACGTTGTACCTGCGGCAGGAGATCAGCAGTGACCCACTCTGCCCTGAGTGGTCTGTGATTCAAAGTGACAAAGTGAGGAAGGGAACAAATCACCCGTTCGCTATCGTTCGCTTACCTCTGTCATACTGGAAACCCCCAGAAACAGATTCCAAAGCCCTGACGGCTGAAGCCAGCTCGGTGCTGTTGATTTCCCTTACTCAACACCAACTCCCTTTTGAGCCAATCTAAACAGCTCAGCTTTTGGCCTGGAACGCACCTGTGAATCAGAACATTCCGGCTGAAATGGCGAAGTTTCCGAGTGAGTGAGTGAGTGAGTGAGTGAGTGAGTGAGTGAGTGAGTGAGTGAGTGAGTGAGTGAGTGAGTGAGTGAGTGAGTGAGTGAGTGAGTGAGTGAGTGAGTGAGTGAGTGAGTGAGTGAGTGAGTGAGTGAGTGAGTGAGTGAGTGAGTGAGTGAGTGAGTGAGTGAGTGAGTGAGTGAGTGAGTGAGTGAGTGAGTGAGTGAGTGAGTGAGTGAGTGAGTGAGTGCCTTGCGATGCCTCTTCTCCGTTTCGCAGGACCTCCGTTTCGCCTCCTTCCCCCTTCAAATGGTCCAGTGGTCCTTTGCGAAACGGTTGCCTTATTGTGAGTGAGTTGGCAAGCACAGCCTTCCGGCGGATTTCGGGGGGAAAAGGGCACGTTGCTGGTGCCAAAGTTGCGGGTGGTCCATAAAAGGCTCCTTGAAACCAAGCAGATCCTCGCTGCTTTCTGTTGTCCTTCGCAGTCTGCATGAACTTGGGATCATTTCAGGGCTTGAAGGATGCATCCCAAACATGGGCGTCCTTTTAGGGGAAATAGATGGGTTTCCCTGGTAGATGATTAAACCATCAGGTAAACCAGGGCCATCTATTTTTCGACCAAAACAACCAAAAAGGACACCTATGATCCCAAAATTCCCTCCCTTGGTGGATCCTCGAGTGATTCTCGGTTTGAGAAAAATATTTCCCCTGATGAATCAGATTGTATTTGGCTGCCGAGTTCGGCCAAGATATGTCTCCTTCAAGCTGGAACCTGGTTTCGGTGGACCCAAGTGCTTTCTTGCCTGGCGCAGGTTGGACTCCAAATTCCTTCGTGTATGCCCCCTGGAGGAAAAAAACACCATCTCTCCAGGAGTGACAGTCGATTCCCTAAACCAAACATGGAAACTCTCTCTCAAAATCCTTGTTCCACAAACCGCCATCTTCGCGAGAAACCAAATAGCTCGTAGCTCAATACAAGCACTTTTCGGACGACTCGCACATATTCTTTTCAGCACATGAGTCACAATCAAAACCCGGTACCAAAATGGTCGACCCAGAACCATGTAAATAATTAAGAAGGCGACCGCAGCAAACACCAATAATAAATGGTTGGGATTGTCCCTTAACCTTCACCTACCCGAATGGGTTTTGATTGTGGCTCATATGACCAAGATATTGCACATTCGATCAAATGTTTCCACATTTTTTGAGGAGTGAAAGTCGATTCCCTAAATCAAATGGAACATCACCAGCATATCCGATTTACACAGATGTCTTACACCACCTCCCAGCCCTGAAGCCCAGGCCCGGCCCCCACATATTAAAAAGTCGTCACATGGACTCCACCGAGGTTCGGCTTTGGTCTCTGTGGCTCCGGGCTGGTAGTGCCCAATCCAGGTCCAGGACTCGAGGCACAAGACGGCGATGTCCGCGAAGTCCCGCACCTAACCCGAAGCTTTCAGATTGAGGCCTTGGGGAGGGGGTGGTTGGGGTGGTGGGGGGGGTTGGGGTGGTTGGGGTGGTGGGGTGGTTGGGGTGGTTGGGGTGGTTGGGGGTGTTGGGGGGGTTGGGGGGTGGTTGGGGTGGTTGGGGTGGTTGGGGGTGGGAGGGAAAGTAGGGAAAGTGTACATATCACATATCCTCATCTTTCCTGTGTTTCCCTTCAGAAATTAAACGTGTGCCGGGTAGCACCAAGTGAAATAGATAAAACAAAAAAGGAAGACGCCCACAAACACAATGAATCGGTCTTTGTCGGCCGCCAAGGTTGGGACTGGGATCAGACAGACACAGATAGTCGACGGAGTGGAGAAACCCGCGTTGGGCTCGGGTTGTAACTCAACGAGTTGCAGGACACCAAGCCCTTTGATCCTTTCCATGCGACCAGAGCCTGGTCAGTCTTCCACTCCCATCATTTGCTTGGGCAAAGGCGTCTCAGAAAAATTGCAAAGCTCTAAACCTCACTTGGAGGTGGGTATTTACGGGAGAAATCCCATGCTCCGGGAATCTTCCCTATATTTCTTAAGGCATCAAGCGTACTAAGGGAAACTTGAATTGGCCCAACACGTGATGTTCAAAACCATAAGGGACATGTAGGGCAACCTGTTTCAGTCTTCCGAGCCGAGTCGCGTTCCAATTCTCCAGGATATTACCACGCCCTCCTTGCGCATGGCCATGTCGCGACGGGCCAGAAAATAAACAGTCTTCCCCTATGGGTGTTTTTCCATTGATGTCATGAAGCCTCTTGGTCAAGGGGCGCAGTCGAGGCATGGGCCAATGAATGCCGTGGCATGATCAGCACACTTGCTCAGCTTCCATTTGGTCAAGGCCCCAGGAAAAAATAAAAATATGTCCAGTAGTGATGAATTCCTTTTAAACCCAACAAGGGGTTTAATAAACAAATATATTCATTTCAGCAAATAGAGCTCAGCACTGCACCCATATGCCAAATGACAGGCGCAGGCCCAAGAGCATCCGCTCAACTCTGCACATGCCGACTGCGTAAGCTTTTGGACTGACGGGTCAGCCCCCTCAGCGCAAAAACCAATCCCAACCTCGAAAAAGCATCAAATACAAATATAGTTGTTTACAGTGTGCTCACGAGAAAGGCCACCTCAAAGGATGTGGGCCATTTTGTCTTGGAAGACCGGCCATGTTCCTTTTACAAGGGCGATCTGGTGCGCTCCATGCTTGTTGGCGGGAAGCGATTATCCAATCCAACAAATATAACAAGAAACATACAACATTTGAGGGAGTTGGGACAACCATTTTGGAGCTTTGGACGAGCGCAGGCGTTTAAGCGTTCATTATGGTCGGGTCCCTGCGTTGACCTGCGGTGAGCAAGCTGCGACATTCGAAAGGGTATCGCTATGTGCGAAAGATGTGCTAAGGGCATTGTCTTTGTGGATTGAACAGATCAGGGTCGGTGAAGACAACGTGTTTGGACTGTCAGGCCGTGATTAAGGAAACACAATACCGTGCTAATTAAAGAGAGAGAGAGAGAGACATATAGTTGTATAGCCATTCAGCTGAAAGTGCCCCCTATTCAATGTTGTCTGCAGCTGGCTGCGCACTTGGAAGGGAGGAAAGAAACATGATCCCACTGGCAGGGCCTTTTTCACTGACTAATTGCACGATTGGTGATTCAAAGAGGGAGGGGTGTGAAAGTGTGGGGGTGGTGGGGTGCGGGGGTGTGAGAGGGGCTCCCTAGTACAGCTAAGTCGTGATCACATCTCTTGATGTGCGTGTTCATGATCAATGGGAACCCCAGATCCCTACACCTATCTTAACAGGGTGTCACCCAAGTGATCCGGGTCCCACTCAAAGGGGAACCCCCCTTTGAGTATCAGTGCAAAGCCCCCCCCAACCAACACCGCCCACCTACCAACCAACCTCCCAACCTACCCCCCCAACCGGCCCCAAACCCTCCCCCCCGCCCAACCAACTCCTCACCCAAAACAACTCCGGTTGATTGTTGTTGTCTTTTTTCAAAAAAAACAAGGTCGACAGTCTCTCTAAGAGGGAAGGCTCCACCAGGCTCCGCACCCGCGCCTCCCACCACCACGAGGTATCCCTTGCCGTCCACTTCCTCCCGAAGAGACGTGAGCCGCTGAACTGGTGGAGACCACTTTTCATGTTTGGGGATTTGAACCCCTGGCTTTTTTGTAGAGGGTAGATGGAACCCCTGTCCTTAACCCCCAAACCACCAATCCAAACCACCAACGAAGTGCCTGAACTTTAGGGGAAGCCACCACAGGGAACAAAACAACACGGGGTGCCACTGAAGAACTGAGACCTTGCCAGATCCGAAGCTGCGTTCCAGCTTCGCTGGGAAGCATGGAAATCCCCAGGGCTTGAAACTTCCCAAGTTTTGTTGTGATATTGTCTGTTTTCAAGCGGGCGGGGAAATCGCAAGAAACTGCTGACTGCAAAACAAAGTGCAAATCATGCTTGCTGGCTCCATGAACCATTGCCCGGTGTTTGGAAACCTGTTGCGCCACAGTGAACATCCTCAAAAGGGCGGGCGGGCAGTCGCGTCGCAAACACAACTCAGTGACGGGCTACAACAGTAATGTGTAGCCGGGCAACCACTTGATTGGGAAGAATTGCACAAGACAAGGGCGCACTCTGAACATGAACACAAAACTTAAAAAAAAAGAAGCACCTCCTTTCGGGATCAAACCTGTTCTCACCAACATGCGTGCTTGCCCTAAGGGAGGAAGCAGCCCTTGTGAATCTTGAACAGTTTATGAAGTTGAGGCTGACACCTACGGAGGATTGAATTGGTCTGGATCTCATGGTTAAGTGATTCCGGCCACCAACGACCCATGATAAGTGTGCTGGGAGGCGAAGTAAAGCTGATGCAGTGTTCCATCAATGTCCCCCAACCTGGGACAAGCTCTGCCACAAATCAACACACACACACATAGCAACACACACCACACACACACAAACCCACAAACACAGACACACACACACAATCACATAAACACTCACACAATCACACAAACACACACACACACACACAAACAAACACGCAAGCAAGCAAGCGAGCGAGCAAGCAAGCGAGAGCGAGCAAGCGAGCAAACACACCGAACACACACACACACACACAGAATCACACACGCATAAACACACAAACACAAAAATAGAAACAAACAAAAACACCGGCAAACAACCAAACACACAAACGAAGAAGCAAACAAACACACAAACGCAAGCAAACACACACACACAAAAAACACACACAAAAAACACCCAAACACCAAACACACACACACACACAAAAACCCACACACACACAAGCAAACACACAAACAATCCCACACACACTGCACACACACACACGAGCACAACCACACACACACACACACACACCTAAACACATACACACAATCAACCAAAAGCACTTACAGCCACTCAAGACAACAAACAAACAAACAAACAAACAAACAAACACACGCACACACACACACACACACACACACACACAAACAAAACAAAACAAAACAAAACAACACAAAACAAAACAACACAAACACCAAAGAACACTCTCAAACACTTTCACACACACACGTCCGCCCGTCCACCCGCCCACAGACCCACACCAAACGCTGCGAGGCTCGAAGAGCGTGGTGCTGTGCCCGTGGCGCGGCGGCATCTCCCAGTCCTGCGCCTGAAAATCGGAGAGCTTGGAGGGGAATTCAGACAGGGTAGGGCTTTTATTTACTAGATTTAGGGTTTGTTTAGGGTTTGTTTAGGGTTTGTTTAGGGTTTGTTTAGGGTTTGTTTAGGGATTGTTCAGGGTTTGTTCAGGGATGTTTGGGGTTTGTTTGGGGTTTGTTTAGGGTTTGTTTAGGGTTTGTTTAGGGCTTGTTTAGGGTTTTTTTAGGGTTTGTTTAGGGTTTGTTTAGGTGTTTTTTGGGGGGTTTGTTGAGGGTTTGTTGAGGGTTTGTTAAGGGTTTGTTTAGGGTTTGTCAAGGGTTTGTTTAGGGTTTGTTCAGGGTTTGTTTAGGGTTTGTTTAGGGTTTGTTCAGGGTTTGTTTAGGGTTTGTTTAGGGTTTGTTTAGGGTTTGTTTAGGGTTTGTTCAGGGATTGTTCAGGGTTTGTTCAGGGTTTGTTTGGGGTTTGTTTAGGGTTTTGTTTAGGGTTTGTTTAGGGTTTGTTTAGGGATTGTTTAGGGTTTGTTTAGGTTTTTTTGGGGGGTTGTTGAGGGTTTGTTGAGGGTTTGTTTAGGGTTTGTTTAGGGTTTGTTCAGGGTTTGTTTACGGTTTGTTTAGGGTTTGCTTAGGGTTTGTTTAGGGTTTGTTCAGGGTTTGCTTACGGTTTGTTTAGGGGGTTTGTTGAGGGTTTGTTTAGTTTTTTTTGGGGTTTGTTTAGGGTTTGTTTAGGGTATTTTTAGGGTTGGTTCAGGGTTTGTTCAGGGTTTGTTCAGGGTTTGTTTAGGGTTTGTTTAGGGTTTGTTCAGGGTTTGTTTAGGGTTTGTTTAGGGTTTGTTCAGGGTTTGTTTAGGGTTTGTTTAGGGTTTGTTTAGGGTTTGCTTACGGTTTGTTTAGGGGGTTTGTTGAGGGTTTGTTTAGGTTTTTGTTTGGGGGTTTGTTTAGGGTTTGTTTAGGTTATTGTTAGGGTTTGTTTAGGGTTTGTTTAGGGTTTGTTTAGGGTTTGTTCAGGGGTTGTTCAGGGTTTGTTTAGGGTTTGTTTAGGGTGTGTTTAGGGTTTGTTTAGGGTTTGTTTAGGGTTTGTTCAGGGTTTGCGTACGGTTTGTTTAGGGGGTTTGTTCAGGGTTTGCTTACGGTTTGTTTAGGGGGTTTGTTTAGGGTGTGTTTAGGGTTTGTTTAGGGTTTTTTTAGGGTTTGTTTAGGGTTTGTTTAGAGTTTGTTTAGGGTGTGTTCAGGGTTTGTTTAGGGTTGGCTTAGGGTTGGTTTGGGGTTTGTTTAGGGCTTGTTTAGGGTTGGTTCAGGGTTGGTTCAGGGTTTGTTCAGGGTTTGTTCAGGGTTTGTTTAGGGTTTGTTTAGGGTTTGTTTGGGGTTGGTCTGGGGTTGGTTTTGGGTTTGTTCAGGGTTTGTTTAGGGTTTGTTTAGGGTTTGTTTAGGGTTTGCTTAGGGTTTGTTTAGGGTTTGCTTAGGGTTTATTTAGGGTTTGTTTAGGGTTTGTTTAGGGCTTGTTTAGGGTTTCTGGGATTTAGGGGTTTCTAGCAGTTTAGGGTTTAGGGTTTGTTTACTAGATTCTTTTCAATTTGAGGGCTGCGGCGGTTACTTCAAAATCCTCATGCCACTGAGTCCCTCCCAGCCAAGCCACCGATTCCCCTGGCCATGCAACTAGACAGGCAAACGATTTTTTTTGGATTCTAGTTCATCCCATGGAAAAAAGAAGAAGAAAAAAAACGGTAAGTGGCGGCCAGTTAGCTGTGGCTCAAAAAACCGGTAAAATGGGTTGCCCGATCGGTAAGTGGGTTAAACATGGACCAAAACCTGCGGTTTGCCCCTCCGATCGTGAAATTTGAGCCACACCCAGTTCCTTCCATGTCGTAAAAGCGCCAGGCGAGCCAAATGTTTAGGGAGAACGTGGCGAGCGAGCCGCCTGTCCCAGGGACTTACGTGTTGCCAAACAAAAAGTGGATGGGTTGTTTCATGCAGGGCCAAAGGACAGGTCCTGGGTTGAGCCCCCGTAGCATTGTTGATCTCAAGGGGATACATGCTTTCCCTGCAGGGTCATGCAATGATTTTCATTAATGACTCCGAAGTTGAAAAAGAAGCATGTTGCTCCTTTGAGACGTACATGTTGCTGCGATTCTAGGGCTGGGTGTTGATAGATGTGTGAGAAATGAATTGCCCTGGCTTCCTAGAAATTGATGAGGCTTCGCGGGCGCAGAAATCAAAGCTGGACGTAATTAAACGAGCTGCATTTCCAACCCCTGCGGAAAAAAACAATACACACACACTCGCGGATGATGATTTGCCTTGCACCAACCATAGCCAGGGTGGGATCAAGGAGTTTACCTCCAGAAAACATGTTTCCCCCCAGAAAAGCGGGGGGTTCGGAAGGTTCCCAGGAAGCCTTACGCTGACAAAAACCCTCGGCTTCAAAACTGCCTGCAGAGCCGTGCATTCCGCAGCAGCAGCATGGCTCCAGGACCAGTCGTGCAAGGAAAGGACGTCCTCAGATTCCGAGCGGTCCAAAGCCTGATTTCTCTTGAGTAATTGTCTGTTGAGTTTTGAAAATTAGTTCTACCCTCCCTCCACCAACCAAAGCTGACTTCTGAAGGTGTGGACGACCACTTCATTGTGGCGGCGCTTTCTGTCCACATGTGGAAACAAATTCAGACAATTCCAACTTAGACTGGGCCTAAGTGACGATCATTCTCAGGCTAAAACGGGGCTCCCTATATTTCACCATCAAAATCTCGGGCAGGTTACAACACATGAAGCCTGCAAAGGGAACCAAAGGACACCACTCTTAGACTCTACCCAAGTGAGGTCATAGTTCATTGCCGGAGCCACCCCTGTTTCTTCTGGAAGCTGACAGGAGGCTTTGGAAGATTACAGCTCTCTTTAAACACATGCTTGAACAAACGTCTGCTAGCTTTTGACTGCTTCCCTGTCGCGCTGATTTGAGATTTGATGCTTCTTCCATGTGGCCCAAACGCAAGGGAATCCTTTTTGGAGTTGACCATGATTTGTTTCCCAAACCCTGGACTGGGTTTAGATCTCCCTACCCCTTGATGGTTTGGATTGGTGGTTTGGCGGGGTGGTTTCCCAAAAAGCCAGGGGTTCAAATCCCCCCAAACCACCACTCCAAACCACTCATCAGGGGTTGCCTGATCAGTCAGTTTATGTCTATGCTCAGCTTACGTTCAGTGATACTTTTGTTTTTTAATTGAACCCTGAAACAACACCTGAATCGCACTGAACAACACGCCACCGGCTCGATCCCTCTTGCCGCAGCACAAAGCTCGCGAGGCTGGTGGCGCAGTGGCCCGTGTGCCCCCCGAAGACCACCACGCAGCCCTCTGGGCACATGGTGAACCTGCACTGAAACAGGGATCCTTACATTATACACCTGAACATTGCCTTGTAAATGGCGGTTTCCTTTTATTTTGGTGGAAAAAGCCATGTTTCAAATGGGAAAAGTGTATCTTTTGAGGAGCCCTGTTTCTGAAAGCACCAAAGCTTTCGTGGGGTCCTAGGAATGCAGGGTCCAGCGCGGATGGTTGCGAGCCCCATTTCGCACAGAACCCCTGGAATTCACCGGGTTTCTCGCAAGGCACCTCTCAGTGGGCCTGAAAACCAGGCTTACTGTGGAGCCTGAAGAACTGCTACTCACCGAAGAAATCCTGACATGATGATTCCCCTGTACCAACGACCGTTGTGGCTTCAACCATAAACTCTCAAACAGATCCTTCAGTAGAGAGGTTAGAATAAGGGTACCCTTGTTTTCTGTAGTCTATTTTAGTAGGGAATTTTCTCTTAAAAAAGTGGGAGAAAGGGCACTACTGGGGGACCTAGGAAAAGAAATTTCATCGTTTTTCCTACCCGGAGGATTTCATGCAACCATGCTCCCGTTGAGCTCCAGACCATAATTTCCAAGAAGGGAAGGAAAGCCGGGACATACCGAGAAGGTGCATCTGCTTGAAAATTGGTAACTAAGATAGTCTCCGAACTAGGAGATCCTCAACATGATTGGCTTCCTTTTGGTTTCCCCTTCAAAATCAAAAGGGGGCCACAAAAAAGAAGCCGTGCAGGCTCGCTGAAAAAGTGTTTACATCTCCCATACTTCGCCTTGTTGCGACGCCAAGGATTCGACCCCGGAATTCGACCCATGATCTCCTGACCTTCTTGGCCCATCTTCCGTGGGCAAACCTCCACCAAACCCAACTCATTGCCACCGGGTCAAATGAGGCAATCGAAGGCCGAAACGGAGCCCGAAAAGCGGGAGCTCTTGGGGTTTGCTGGGGGGAGGAGGGGTAGGGTTCCATCAGACCCGGAGCTCCACTGGCCATGGGAAACCTGGCACTTTTGATGGGTGATTTACCAGGAAAGCTCCTCAACAAGATGAAAAAAGGAAGCAACGTGTCTGGGAGTCTGGGCAAATGGTTGGCTGAACTTGCATTGTGGGTTGGTCGTTTTTGTTTGCTGCCAGAAGTTCAACGTGATTGTGCCGGTTGGTGCTTTGCAAACAGCTAGGGTAGTATAAATGCTCTAGCTTTTCTCTCCTCATTCGGAAAGATCCATCGTGTCAGAAAATGGCATTTGAAAACCCAACACAAAAACATGGTAGTTTCTGAGTTCCCGCAAAGGTCTTAGAAGGTGAAAAAAGCAACCAAGAGTTGAACGCGGATTTTGGCGGACCTCTCCGGGATTTTACGCACCTTGCGCGGCCCTGGGCATGGTAGACACGCTGTTGATCAAGCAACCCAAAGGCACAGCCCGCTTTGGGCGTCCTGGGCCTGCTTCCGGGTCTGCAACTTTTCAAGGTTGGCTTGAAGGGAAACCAACTGAAAAAGGACCAGGTAGGGTCCCTCCTGTTTCATACTCGGAGTAGCGAACTGAGAAGTCTGAAAGCAATCTTGAGAACCGCTAGAAGTGCAAACAAGAGTAGATGGCACCGCTCCGCTGGTAAGGGGGGTGCCTAAACCAGAACAAGAGAATTGTGCCATGCCGTCTTTCACCCAACAGAAATTTTGAGATACCCGCAAAACATGCAACCACTTCAGACTCAGTATACTCAGTAAGGGCACCCTAGGTCCTCCAGTAGAGAGGTTAGAATAATGGTACCCTTTTTTCCGTAATCTATTTTAGTATATTTTAGTAGGGGAACCCTCCGGACCTAGCACCCCAAAAGGCGTGGTTTTCCTTTCGTCTTCCCTTTGGACAGCCCCACAACAGGACCCACCACCCTGGCCTTGCAGGCACGTAGGTGGCCGAATGCGCGCACCGCTCCACCGGCTGATAAGGTTGCGGCGCCTCGCCTATTCCGGAAGGAACCCGTTTGCCGAACAACGGGTTCGCAGCTAGGTGGTTGTACCACCTGGTTTACATGGGGTAGTAAAGCCTGCTTAAACCTTAGGACCATGTGAGTGGAACCTAAAGGCAATGGATTTTGGATGATTTTGGCGCTGCGAAAGTGAATCTGCAATCTGCTAATCACCTGGTTCCCGCTTCTATTTGTCATTGGTGGGAATACCCGCTGCTAAACTTCATCCACGACTCTGATTGTGCCTGGAATGAGAGGACGGTGAGACCATGGCAAACATGAATGACAGCACAGCAAGATTGCTACAAGAAAACAACCCTCTCTGAAACAATGCCAAGAACCGTACACATCTTGCACGCGCAACTCGCAAAGTGAAAAACAGTAGAGCATCAACGGCTTCCCTGAAAATGCCAGCAATATTCCATCTGTTGACGGTCATTGCCTCAGATTCTCCAGCAGTGAATACAGAGGTTCTGGACAAGCTGCCACACACACACACACACACACACACTGTGGGCACATGTCTACAATGTGCGAGCCGGAAATCTAGATTCCACGAACGGACCTGGTTTGACCACCGTTCTCACCAGCAGAGAAGACTCCTACGGCATGAACCCATTTGTTGCGCAAACCATGCGTTGCCCATCGCTTCATTTTACTTCCGCCAAACTATAGGTCGACTAGTGCCTCGAATACGGGACTCAGTAGCTGAACCAGGGATTCATTTGTTGAGTACTCGAAACTTGCGGATTGGAAAACAAGCACATATGGCCATGGGTCCAAAGCCCGTACCCCCAGCGAACATCCCAATCCCCAAAATGGTTCCAAAACGGAATTGACCCACCACCATGTTTGTGAGAAAGCCCAAAAAGGTAAAAGCAGGGCAAACAGTCCAGAAGCTCAGAGTCATAGGTGGCCTTTTGGACAAATAGATGGCCCTGGTAAATGGAATAAACACCATCTAAACCAGGGTTCCCTCTATTCTTTAAGGACACCTATGCTCCCAGTCACCCACCCCATACCCCGATTTTTTCCGAAAAAACTGCCGGGGGAAAAAAAAAACAGAAAGAAAAGGAGGGCCATCGAGCCGGCCTACCAGGTCCTTGCAGGCCTGGGGCTTGCCCCACAGGATCTGGGCATTCTCCTGACCTAGGCAGGTTTCAACACGGGCGAGGGATGGAGCCCAGTCGGAGCCCAGGAAGGATCAGGGGGAGGAATTCCTCATGGCTCAAGCCTCACAAAAACCGCTGGAGTTTACCATGCAAAAAAACAAATCCACCAAATATCGGCCAGAGATGACTCAAGGTCCGAACATTGAACAGACCAGGCTTGGGGCAACTATTTAAGGGATTCGCAACCTCTACCATCCTCTTCCTGAACTATTTCGGGCATAGCACGCTTCCCCCTTTGGGCGGGCAGCATGTGGGTGGGGATTCATGTCCACCAGTCACTTTGTAGGTGGTTCCCTTAAAAACAACAGAGCCAGATGTTCAGGGGACCCCCAGAATCCCCAGACCGAGGAAAGTCTTTCCTGACGCCCTTGGACCCTTTCGCCTTCTCCCTCGTGCAGGTAGCCAACGGCCCAGCTGTTGTGCTCGTGTCGATAACCACCGCCGCCGCCACCAAATGCCAGCACCTTTTACGCGTTCGAGCGCGAGAAATGGCGGCTGGCGGTGCTTGGCGTGAAATCTGAATGAGTATGAGTATGTCCTGGGCTGCGAAGACCCCGCAAGCACGCCTCCAAGCTCAAAATTCTAAAACTTTGCCAATCGCACACGTCAACCTCAGGCCCTTCCCTTTTTCTCCCCCAAAAAGCTGATCACGAGGACCTGTACTCCGAGCCAGAGATCCCACCGGTTTCGTAAAAAGTTAAAGGCTTGATGTCGAAAGGCTGCGGGTTTAAACAGTAAACACTTCTTTAAGCGTAGGGTAATCCTGCACCAGTCGGTAGGTGGCGTATCCCAGTATGCATAGAAGTTCATGCATCCCCATTGGTGTGCAGTGGACTTTGTTCATGCACAGAATCTCTTGATATAACCATGACATCGCTCGATAAGCCATATACCTGATTGGCGAGCTCGCTAACCTAGGAAAAACACTTGATGTTCAATCCACGGGAATGATCATAAAGCAACAACCTGAACGAGGAACGAGGAACATCTTGGTTTCTTCTCGTGCTATTGTCCCCACAAAGACTTCGCTTTTAAACACACGGGCACAGAGACAGACACAGACACAGACACACCCATACGCAAGCGCACACACACACAAACACCCACACACACACAAACACACACACAAACACACACACACACACACACAAACAGACACACACACACACAACACACACACACACACAAACACACACACACAAACACACAAACACACAAACACACACACACAAGCACACAAGCACACAAGCACACAAGCACACAAGCACACAAGCACACAAGCACACAAGCACACAAGCACACAAGCACACAAGCACACAAGCACACACAAGCACACAAGCACGCAAGCACACACGCACACACACGCACACACGCACACAAGCACACAAGCACACAAGCACACCCGCACACATGCAAACACACGCACAAGCACACAAGCACACAAGCACACAAGCACACAAGCCCGCAAGCCCACAAGCACACAAGCGGGTGAGGGATCAAAAAAAAACGTTTTAGGCATCAAAAAAACCTATTTTTAAAGATCAAAAAACTTATTAGGGATCAAAAAAAACTGATTCTCATTGATTTACTATTAAACATGAAAACCCCCGCTGATTTTCAGAATGTTTGCAGAGATTACCGCACCCTTTGTTGAATCATCACTTCCTCGAACATCATGGGGGGGGCGGCCCCCATCCCCCCCGCTGATTTAATGCTGCGCCTGCGTCAAACTCTGCACCGCACCTTGCGAAAGTGCTGCGCCTGCCGCGAAATTGGTACCTCTTGCGAAAGTGCTGCGCCTGCCGCGACATCTGGACCGCACCTTGCAAAAGTATTGCACCTGCCGCGAATCCGTACCTGACCTTGCTAAAGTGCTGCGCCTGCTGCGAAATCTGTACCTGACCTTCCTCACCCCGCTGATTTGTAGAAAATTGACAGCGATTAACGCACGCTTTGCTGAACCATTACTTCTTCGATCATCATCATTTGTTGAATCATCACTTCTTCGAGCATCATGGGGGGGGCTGCCGCCCCCCCCCAACCCCCCCGCTGATTTTCAGAATGTTTGCAGAGATTACCGCACCCTTTGCTGAATCATCACTTCTTCGATCATCACCACCCTTTGTTGAATCATCACTTCTTCGAACATCATGGGGGGCCTGCCGCCCCCCCAAACCCCCTGTTGATTTGTAGAATGCTTACAGAGCTTAGCGCACCCCTTGTTGAATCTTTATTTCCTCGAACATCATGGGGGGGGCTGCCGCCCCCCCCAACCCCCGATTCAGTGCTGCGCCTGCGTCAAACTCTGCACCGTACCTTGCGAAAGTGCTGCGCCTGCCGCGAAATCTGTACCGCACCTTGCGAAAGCGCTGCACCTGCCGCGACATCTGGACCGCACCTTGCGAAAGTATCACCTGCCGCGAATCCGTACCTGACCTTGCTAAAGTGCTGCGCCTGCTGCGAAATCTGTACCTGACCTTCCTCACCCCGCTGATTTGTAGAAAATTGACAGTGATTAACGCACCCTTTGCTGAATCATCACTTCTTCGATCATCATCACCCTTTGTTGAATCATCACTTCTTCGAACATCATGGGGGGGGCTGCCGCCCCCCCCAACCCCCCCGCTGATTTTCAGAATGTTTGCAGAGATTACCGCACCCTTTGCTGAATCATTTTTTCTTCGATCATCACCATGCACCCTTTGTTGAATCATCACTTCTTCGAACATCATGGGGGGGCTGCCGCCCCCCCCAACCCCCCTGCTGAGTTGTAGAATGCTTACAGAGCTTACCACACCCCTTGTTGAATCTTCACTTCCTCGAACATCATGGCGGGGGCTGCCGCCCCCCCCAACACCCTCGCTGATTTAATGCTGCGCCTGCGTCAAACTCTGCACCGTACCTTGCGAAAGTGCTGCGCCTGCCGCGAAATCT